GATGGCTGCGCCCAGTAACTCCTTCCCACTTCTAGACCAAAGATTATTGCTGGGACTGCTATTTGGTTGTGCAGCAACAGCAGAACTGTGAAACAGTAAGAGTTGTTCGGCCACACTACAGGTTGAGAGCATTGTATGTTTGTTGGTCCAGAAACACTTTGGATTTGTGAAGCTGGACTGAAAATGTGGCCAGCCACAAGCCTTTCCCACAAATTCAGCTTAAAATATTACTACTATTTAAGTGGTAGTTTACTTGAACTATATTATTTATGCTTCCATATTGGGTACCTTAATGTGGTGATAAATAAACCCAAAATGTTTGCTGTGTATTACCATACATTTTACTGATTGATTCTTCCTATGGACAAGGGCATTGGCCTCAAAGAAAAAGGAAGGACTCAGCAATGCCTAGGCTGAAAGTACACAGTGCATAAAAAATCTAGTTGCTTGTGCAGAGTTTTCTTGCTTGGTTTTTGTACCATGGCCCACAAGCATTTGCTTTGAACCAACCCCTCTGTGCTGAACCTAGAATCCTTTCTCTAGTTTCTTACCAAGTCACTGGAGTCACCAGGGAGTCTTGAGAGTCAGAATTAGCATATGGTGTACAGCTTTGTCCTCCAGTAGCTTCAAACATTTTGGTTTATTAGTGTCTAGCTCGACATAGAAAGCCCCGAGGTCCAGTAAAGTGGACCTAGTATTTGTGTTCGTGCAAGCACACACTATATTGGCCATTTGGCTTTATGAACATACCTTGTTCGCTGTCTAAGGAGGAGTGATGGTTTTCCATTTAGACTGTGGAGTCTACTGCTTAATAATAAATACACTCCTGACATTGTTAAATGATAGCCTGCTTCTAATAAACCCCATGCTGATCCCTGTGTTGGTTAGACTGGGTAATTCATCTTCCTGGGCTGTTAAAACTTTAGCTGGGATTATAGAGATGACATGAATCAGACACGATCAGCATGTCCCCTGCTGGTTTGCTCATTTTCTCCCCATAACAAAATGCTGGCTAGTTTTTTCTTTGCATTGCAGATCTTGTTATTAGTTGATTTCATTATTAATTGCTCCTAAGCCTTGGGAGGCATTTTCAAGGCACGTACATAAGGGATCCACATAGTCTACAGCAAAACACAACTGTACTTTCATGCTCACACTTCTCCCAGGGTACTTGATATCAAGTTGTAATCCCTTTGTGTTAGTAAAGAGCCTGGAGCCACACTCCGAATACACAAGAATTAACCGAGTGCTTCAATTTTTTCCTTGATTTGCTACCAGAAAGAAAAAAAAGAGGGGAAAAAAAGAGGAGGAAAAAAAAATCTTATTATCCTCAAATCTAATTACAGCCTCAATAGTTCCTGAGGATTTGGCTTTATGAAGTGGTTCATAAAACCTTCCTTGTCATTATGCCCACTAACACCCTTTGGTCTCATGCACTGATAAGGGCTTGTTTGAGTAATTTTAAATTAGCTGATAATATGCTGACAAGTAGACTGCAGGATGCACCACGCAGCCAAGTGCCCTCGAAAGAGCTGCTCCAAGAAACAACTTGAGACTGCCTGAACAGACCTGGCTTCCCGCTCCATCGGGGTCCTGCCAAAGGTAAATGGGCTCCCACTGGCTGCGCTGAGCCTGGCATTGGTCCCCCCCGGAGCAGGCATGTCATACCAGGCATGCACAGCACACCAACAGGGACCTTCCACCAACCAGCACTGATGGAGCCTCCACAGCCTGCGGAGATAGGGCTCCCCAGGCCCCTGCACAGCCCTGCACACTTGAGCACACAGGACATACGACATGGGAAGCAAAGCTCGTAACTCCCCATTGCCTCACATTAAAGCAGTTCAGCATTGACCTTTTAAATCACAGACTGGGTAACACTTGGTCACTTCATGCCCATCCACCCACCCACCACTGCTACCATTATTATTTGCCACAAAAAGTTGAGGTCAGATAAAGTTCTTTTTCCTCCCCCAATCCCGATACTTCTTACAAAATCCAGTGGAGGCACCATGATTTTTTTCTTTCCCTTCTGGATGCTTGTGTTCTTCGGCACCTTTTGACAACTGCCATTAATTATCATGATACATGAATATGGCACCTTTCATTTCCACAATTGCATACAGTCAAAACAACAGAAGATTTGCTTTCTGCCATCAAAGGCAACATACTCAGCTGTGAATGTCACCGTTCCCAGCAGAACAACCGGTGCCTGCCCCAGGCCTGGTTCATCAGGGTCTTTTTCCCTGTTGTCTCATGGACAACATGACCTGGCATCTACTGCTAGGAGTCCATCTGCTCCTGTTTGGGGAAACTTATCAGTGTTCTTGAGCCAACCTGACACTCCTGCCAAGGGAAAACAGCAATGCAGGACCCACAAACCATACCCAGTCAGTCTTACAATAACTGGAGCTGACAACCTTGTACTTAGGAAAGAGAGGGGATGACTCCAGCCCGGAGTTGGACTGCAAATGCACCCATACCTTCAATACCACAGTAGTATCTCAAGCCCTGATACCTCTTCAATATCCTACAGATTAGATCCTAGTACACATCAAGAAAGTCTATTACAAAAAACCAAGAGATGGGAAGAAGGGAGGGAGGGAAAGGTGGTGGTTTTGTTGTGGTTTTGGTTTTGTTTTTTTCCCCCCCCCTCCCTGCTTTTCATTTTAAATTACACTTTCTGTTTTGGTCTTTCTGTAGGTTGGCTGCCACGCTACCTAAACAAACTGGTGCCAGCTGAGGACCAGACTGGAAGGACAGAATCAGACAAAGGAAGAGAGAAGATACAAGACTGTGGTGGGTTGACCTTGGCTGGACACGAGGTAGCCACCAAGCCATTCTATCACTCCCCCTTCCTGGTTGGACAGGGGAGAGAAAAATAAGATGGAAAACAACTTGCAGGTTAAAGCAGGTTACTAAGGCAAAAGCAAAAGTTTGCGTGTGCACAAGCAAAGAGAAAAGAAATAGGTTTAATCTCTACTTCCCATCAGCAAGCCATGCCTGGCCACTTCCAGGGAAGCAGGGCTTCAGCAACTGTAGTGGTTGCTCTGAAGGCAAACATTGTAAATAATGAATGCCTCCTCCTCTTTTTCCTAGCTTGTATATCTGAACTGATGTCATATGGTATGAACTGATGTCCCTTTGGTTAGTTCAGGTCAGCTGGCCTGGTTGTGCTTCCTATCCAGGATCTTACCCACTCCCAGCCTACTGATGGGGGGGTAGAATGTTGGAGAAATAGTGCTGATGCTGTGCCTGCACTGCTTAGCAGCAGCCAAAACACTGCTGCATTATCAACACCCTTCTAGCCACCAATGCACAGCACAGCACTGTGAGGGCTGCTATGGGAAAATGAACTCCATCTCAGCCAGACCCAATACTGAATCTATTCAAAGAGAAAAGCAAGCCACATGTGTGACCCTCCACAGGTACCACTTACTGACTAGCAGTGCAGGTAGAATTTCACACACCAGCTGAAGGCGGCAGGAGCAGCGCAGCATCTTACTTAGAAGGCAAGTCCCTTAAAGCAGATAAAGCTGCCTTACTTGCCCCAGTTATGTGCTCAGGGTTACACCACCAGGCCTCACGAGTCTCTGTAATATGATTGGGAAGTACGATACACCTGTCCTGAATTACAGTAGATAGGTTTATCTCATTTCAGAGCTAATTCACGGATGGGTAGAGATCAGATCAGCTGTAAGAAATACTTTTTATTGTGCAACTTGTTATTCATGGTAGGGTGAAAATGGCTTCAAAGGTGATCCTGAGCACTCTGAGGGGTATCTTCTTATCTCTAACGTAGTTTATACAAACCAAATTGGTTTTTGCTTCAAACATCTCTCCGTAGAAGAAAATCAATTTCAGAATGCAGTGGCTGTGATCTTTCAAGCCAAGGATCCATTGCAAACATACCAAGTGTTTGGCAATGCAAAGCTGCAAAGACAGGACAAGTAATGCCTGTTATCAACATATGTGCCGTGTCCAAATCAAGGTTTCACATCCAAGGCACTGAATAAGCCATTGCCACTCTAACAACAGTTTCATTAACAGAAGCGAAAGTATGTTGTGACCAGATAAGCAAATTTCTTTTACCCCCTACAGCATTGTGGGGCAGCCATTTCAAGCACTGGATTATTTATCAGTCAAAATAAAAACCCCTCAAAGCGTAGGGTGCTGATCCGAGATCCACCCAGGCTCTCTGCACTCCTGGAAGTAGGTGTTTTCATGCTCACATGATATGTAATGCCCTTGGCTTACTCCACGGTCTCACCTGATCTGCTGCAGCAGCCTCACACCTCCTCAACTTATTGTGCATCTTTTGAACCCACCCACCTTGCCCTCCATCAGTTCAGGTGTCAATCAGACTACCTGCCCATGCTTCCCACAACTGCCAAATCTCCAGGAAAACTCCCGTTCACCTTACCTTGTGCACAACCCTCCCCAGGTCAACTTCCCAAAGATTAGTAAGGAGGAGAAAGCAGCCTCGGGATGAGGATTTGGAGCATTCTCTCCCAACACCACATGCTCTTTTGCTTCTTATGAGATATCAGTGCTGTATGTTCTTCTTGTCAGTGGCCTCAGGCAGCTGAAGTCCAGTAAAATTTGTAATCACTATCTAAATTGTGTTGGCTTAGGCCAAGAGGGTCAGAGCTAATGTTAGTAACACCCTTGGATCTGGTTGTGACTACATGTATACTTTGGGTCTGATTGTGCATTTAGAGAAAACAATCATCTCTGTAAGAGAACATAGTCTGGATGTACATGGGGGTGATCCAGGAATTGTCAGCAGGAGCAGAATACATGAAAACTGCTCAGAATGTTTCTAACACTGATTCCTCTGAAAACATTTCAAATGCAAGAACACCATTACAACACCAGGATGCTGATCTCCATTGGAATAAGCTCAGACAACTTCTCAGAAGCTGAGAGAAGAAGGCACTGTCTGCTGCAGACACACACACAGACACAGGGATCACTAAGCCACGGCCAGAGTTAGTTGGGACCATGTAGTGCATGTTTAATACTTGACAGAAGTATGACTTCTCTGAAGGACCACAGGAGGACTGCAGAAGCACATGGTCTTAGTAAGAAAACTGAGGGTTAGGCAGATTGTGCTCTGGTGCTGTTATAAACCTGAACCTTTCAGCCTGGGAAGAGTTCTAATTTTGCAGTATCTTTCTTTTATTGCACGTATCAGGTTACATACGAGCTATGAACATTCCTTCTCCTTTTCTTCCTTCTTGGTTGGTTGGTTTTACAACTGAATTTAACCCTGTGCAGTAGAAATATCTTGTCAGGACACTTCTTTCAGATAAATCACAGGAAAATGAGAGACATTACTCATTGATATGGACAGTTGATAGATAATTACTAGATGAGTGCTCATGCAAAACTCAGTCTTGAAACTCAGTCATGTTTTCTTTTGTACATCGCACTCAAACAGCTCGGATTTCTTCAGAGCCCAAGTAATACCAGAAAAAACAAAACAGTCCCCTACACCACAAAAGCAGCATTCTTACCTGCAAATTTACATGTTTCTTTTCATCAGCTCTAAGCTAAAATGCAGCTCAACTTGAAACTTAATTAGACTCAGTTGGAGAGGTGGTAGCTTGCAACAGCTTTTTATTTTTATGGGGTTCTGAAGGCACTTCCAGCAAGTAATAGGACAGTGGACATTTGGAAAACATCTATAAACCTGGGAAAATTCCACTTAAGTCTCAACATAAGCTGGACACTCATACCAGGCTTTCTTAAACTCTTTGGCCGTCTAAAGCAGTTGCATATTAAAACTGGAGCTGGACTGATCATTCAAAATTAATTTAGCCAGCACATTAATGAGCTACACTTTCTTCTGCTGCTTGTGTGCAATCTGCTTCACTTTCCTTCCTTTACCACTTCTACCAACAATCCTAGCCCACAGTTCTTCACTAAAGCTTTTACGATCAGAAATTTGAGCAGCGCAGACTTATTGCACAGTTGTGATCAGAGCCCGAGCCTTGAATCCTGATATACTACAGACCTTGGTTTGCTTACGGCAGTGTGGTGGGTTGATCTCATCTGGCAGCTAAGCCCCCACCCAGACACTCCCTCACTCCCTGACAAATGGGATGGGAGAAAGAATCAGAAGGGCAAAAATGAGAAAAACTTGTGGGTAAAGATAAAGACAATCTAATAAGTGAAGGAAAATGAAAGAAAACAAAAACAACCAAGTGATGCAAAGGTAGTCACTCACCACTTGCAGACTGATGCTCAGCCAGGTCATTAAGCAACACCTCCCAAAGTAAAATTCCCCCCAGTTTTATTGCTGAGTGTGACATTATTTGGTATGATGTCTTTGGTCAGTTTGGGTCAGCTGTCCCAGCTGTGTTGCCCCTCAACCCTCTTCCCCAACCCTAGCCTACTTGCTACCCAGCAGGGTGAGAGATGAAGGCCTTGACACTGCGCAGGCACAGCAATAACTAAAACATTGTGGTGTGTTATCAACACCGTTTTGTTCACCAGTCTAAAACACAGGACATTACAGGCTGTTATGAAGAAAATTAACTCCATCTGAATCAGACCCTCTTCAGGCAGATAAAATGGGTTCATGGAGCTACTAGCTCTAGAGACTGCCAGTCCAGTACTGCTGGAATTGCATGCAACAGAAACTAATCCTTGGCTTTCTCTCTGTTCAAAACATTCAGTCTTCACTAAAAGTTTGGGAAGCTGTTGCAAGGAAATGAAGTAAGCTATCCCAAGCCACTCCTAGAAGCAGAAGAAGGGATTAGCACTCAGGGCTGCTGCTTGTCTTGAACCACCAGTATCCATCCATCTATTTTCCTGTTGCATTGCTGGATAATCAAAACCTTTGAATTCAGTTTCCATCTCTTTACTATTAAATTACTACCTCGCCATGTTGTAACCTGAGGTTCCAAGCACTGATGATTTTTGTTGTTATCTTATGGTACTCACTGGTACAGAGAGAAGATGAATACAAAATACCTGGAAATCACATAATCAGCAACATAAGGACTGCAAGACTTCTCCAGCCCAACTAAAACCAGATACATTTTTTCTCAGTGGAACACAGATCTCCTTCATGAGGCAAGGGGTGGTGCTTGTTTGAATTTTTATTTTGGGTCTTTTTGATGCGTTTTTTTTTTTTTTTAATAGCCTTAGTTGGCTCTTTAAAAGCCAGTAGTAGTTCTAGCCCCAAGTTTCCTGTTCTGAATCTAATTTTTTCCAAGGCACAAGAAATTACTTACCTGTAGATCGTAAAGACTGTCAAAAAGCTTGACAGCCAGGATTAGAATCATATTTTCTACTTTATCTTATTTTCTTCCAAGGCAGTGCAAAATGTTACCAAAAAGCATTACTACCAAATGACATTAGGGCTTAAAAAGTATTGGCATGGGAGCCCATCTAGATACCTATCCGTCACATTTATCTGTTCACAGCATGAAAATAAAGGCCTACACAAGGAACAAATACAAAGCAAAAACCTGTCTTCAGTCTATTTTAATAAGTGAAATAAACCTAAAGGTATGCGTTGGATTTCAGCAGCAGTTAACCTTTCCCCTGACATGATGCAAGGTATCTGCAGGGATATTAAGCAGATTTGCTAAACGCCATAGTGGGGCTCACTCTGGAGACTGCCAGAGCATTGCCAGCTTATATAAACCTTCCCAGGAGTTAGGATGATAGTCTCAGGCTTCTCCGAAAACATTGCTGATCCATAGGGATAATCTCATTTCTTGGACCATGAAATAAGTTGTAGCCTAAGGGTTACAGCTGATATATGTGTGAGACACAATCACCAGCTTGTCAAGTGGCTGCTTTACCCAGGTCTGTTAGGTGGCTTTTGGGCCTGCAAGACACTCAGCTGAACTTAGTTGCTACTCTCTAGTAGGGGACACCATTCCTGATGTCGCCCTCCCCACCACCTGCCTTCCATTGCTCCCAAACATGTTCACAGTGATCACTTTAGTGCATGTTTTGGAATAGGAGGGATTTGATACAGCATTTGTGTTTCACAAAAGGCAAGAGAGCTGAAAAGCTGGTCAAACGATTCCTTCCTAGAATACATCCCTGCAGGACCCATGGGTCCCTGTGCTCAAGCACACACACACAAGTCATGAGGTAGCTGTTTTTGCTAAGGCAAAGAGCATTACCTGTTTAGAGAGCTTGGCTGTCAGTAGAACGGGTATTTTCAGCTTTGTTGGAAAACAGTAGAGCTAGATAGGTCTGAGGTCCTGCTCAGTGTACCTGGCAGGTGCTGGACTTCAAAACTAACGCCAAGATTTTCAGAATCGAAGTGCCAGCAGCTGGGCAGTCCCAGGCTGTAGGCACTACAGGTGTGAACCTGTTAAACTTCAAGCTCCTGGGAAGTGCTTTCCCTTGTAAGCACTAGACTGGGAATTACTACCACTTGCCTGACACCACTATTGTGAGAAGTAGGTGTGATATTTCCCCGTTCAATTAACTAGAAGAAGCCCAAGGTCACTGCCCTTCTTTTTGAAATGGGTCCATTCCATTTTAAGTGCTTCCCTTCGTCTCCTTTGCAAAGTGGTAGCATGGAAACAATGCCACCTCCCACCATGAAATGACAGCTTGCTCCAGCCCTTTCATAACAGAGGCCCTTGAGGCGTGCACCAAGGGAGCTTGATGAGGTTAGTAATCACTGCAGCACATGAAAAGCATGTTGCACTTCGACCTTTTGTACATAAAGAGCTACACTGGTTCTGCCTCTAAAGCCGGGGAGATTTACACATATGGCTTTCTCCCAGCACTGAGGAAGGAGAAACTGAGGCAGTAAAATCCTGAAAGCCAGCAATTTATTCAAGAAGGGATGCTGAGAGTGCTTGAAGGCTTAAAGCTTATGGTGTTTTACCTACAGTTTGCAGCAAAGGAAAAAAAGGATAGGATTTTCATTAAACCCTAGTGTTTTTAGAGACACAAACTATATTTTTCTTTTTCAAGTCGCATTGACAGTCCTGCGAAAGTTCTCTGAGAGTTTTTACTTCACAAGAGCTGTGTGCACAGCTCTTGGAGATCCACTGCCTGTTATCTGTTGCTGTAGTGGCAGCTGCCCTGAAAGACAGGCTAGAAACAACCTTCCAGTCTTCTATGCCTAAGACCCTGAGGTCGTCTGTCCTATTGTCCTTTGGCAGTCACACCTCACTCCCACATACTGATAGCACCTGCCACGACCTCTGGTTAACGTCTTATCTCCAAAAGCTGAAGAAATAATTTCTGCCAGGTCTGCCTATATTAAATGACTTTGAAAGAGACTATGTCATGACACAGACTTCCCTGCTCACAGTGTGACTGGGGAATCCCAAACCTTTTCTTCAGTACTTCATATCTTGGACTACAAGATACCTGGGAAGCAAAACCAGGTAATATCCCTTTTCCTTTCTCAGAGCAGTTTCTAATTTTAATTACCTTCACCATCGCTTCAGTAGCAGCACTTCATGGCAGTCCCCTCTTCTGTAGTTTGGAAATTGAGAAACAGAAATATGACACAATTACCTTCAATTACCAAAAATATTACTTTTATGGAATAAAAGTGAAAATTTGATTTAGTCCAGATCTGAAGCAGTGAGAGAGACACAGAGAGATTATAGGGGAGTTTTCAGCGACCCATGGCCTCCAGAGAGAAGAAATAATCATGTTACTGCGTTTCCTCCCAGCTTCACAGCAGTTTATATCCTTTAATCTCACACACTGAATCCTCTGTTTGCTTGGGCTTTGGAGATTCAACAAGCCCTATGTGCAGTTAGCACAAAGCAGGATTCCCCCACTACCTGCTGTTTTGATCCTGGCCACAGACATGAATGACTGCTCTGCCTCTGTATACACAACATGTACGTGGATTAGGTACAAATTCAAACGTGCAACACGGCTCCACCCATGCTGTCTGCAGAGACAAAAACATCCACAGCAGTAAAAAGTGCAAAGATAATTCAGTGTTTTCCACTTGATCCCTGGAGATGTTTCTTAGCATCCCTTGGCACATCCCACCTTGTGCACCCACCTCAACCCTCAAAAGCTATTGAGATGCTTGCTTTGCTCAGTCCAAGTTTCCTTTTGGTCTTCAAGGCTCTTCTACCTGCATTTTCAGGTGGATAACCAATACTGTGCACACTGAAGTTCTATACAGCCCATAGCAGGAGCCCCAGCATCCCTTTAAAACATTTCAAGCTTGTTTTTTTGCCATCCCTTCTCTCTGAATGCATGACTGCCAACAGGCCAATACCAGCTGCATGCCTTAGAGTCAAAATGCGTTGTTCAACTTGGACCGCTGTGTCCCATTTTTATTTAAACGATTCTTCTTCTGCCCCACAGCACACAAGGACCCCCAGTGGTTTTGCATTTGAGCTCCAGCTGGTGCATCTTGGCTGCGTGTAGCAACGTCTCAGTGCCCGTCCCTGCCGTGCACCTCCTCCAGCAAGTCAAGACATCACCATGTCCCAGCGCTGACTCATGGCTGTGCTCTCACAAGGGTTGATGACAAGCTCTTTAATACTTTCATTCGTGTCCCCAATCGTCTCAGTGTCCAAACAGAAGCGTGAGGCTATGTGTTCAATGTGTGACCCAACTTTACCCCATCGCTGAGGAGAGAGACACATGAGAGGAAAAACAGATGAACAAGCTTCCACCCCATTATATTTTTACTATACTGTTCCAGCATCAAAAGGACAGTTGTCACCAAGCCTCTGTGGCCTGATGCTGGGAAGCACAAGGTTCCCAAACTCGCACCAAGCAGAGCACACGCTGAGCATTTTTCCCATCAGAAGCACACTCATTTAAGCTCGGCCTCTGCCTGGCTTCAGGAAGATAATATATTACTAACAGCTTTTTCCCCAGGTCACTGGTTCAAATGCCAGCTCAGTGATTAACTGCAGAGAAACGTTAGCATCTGCTGCCTGACTGGCAGCCCGTGTGAACTAAATTGCCAGTTTGGGTTTGACTTCTGCAGATAAGTATCCAGATCACCACCCTCACTAATAGACATCCTTATCAACACACTCATTTAAGAGGCAAAGGGCTGAACAGGCCAGAGTCTGTACTCCTGAATAGACTGTGTTTCCCAGATGAAGTCAGAACACACGGGCCATTTACTGTGCAGTAATACTATGATGAAAGAAAGGGAATCTCAAAGAAAATGGGGGATCAGTGAAAGGGCTCACCTGCTTGTTGTCACCTTCTTTACAAGGTGACAGCAGCACCTGGGAACCAGGGAAGAGCGTGTACACAGACAAACACAGCTGCTGCTGGCGGACTTGGTGGTTGTACGTGTATGTCCATTCCTGCAGAGAGGAAGAAAAAAACCGAGGCGAGAGATCAGTGTTGACTCTTGGTATTCTTCTACTCAGAAAACCAACACTTTGGCTTGGATCCTGTCCCTTCTGAAGGCAAGCACAAACATCATTGACTTCAAGAGTCACCAGGACAGGTCACTGTTTCAAGCCTCCCCAAAACTGCAGCTGTTATTGGGGGACTGCAGGTACCAAAGAAAATGTCTACAAAAGCACTTGGAAGAAAATGGTTCATGAGACAAAAGATTCCATAGCTAGAACTGGGCTGTGGTTGGGGGGAAAAAAGGATAGGAAAAAAGCAAAAGAGAGGCAGAAATACTACTAACCACACAATGTGGAATCCTGTTTTTCCAGGGAAGAGCAGCAGAAATGTTTTGCAGCTGGTGGTGGGAGAGGTGATACAAAGCAAATGTTTGCAACTCCTAGGATTCTGTTCCCAAATATAACAAAAATCAGGGATAAAGCTCTGCTTTCTATCAAGGCAGCAGGAGCAAATTCCAAAGGTTTGCTGTACTGGTTTGCTATGACCACTGCTACTTCTGTTCCTCTGGGCTGTCTTGAAGGTTTTTTCCTCATACTGCTTTTCATGTTCACCTTCTCTTATAAGCTTCTCAGCCTAAGAAATAAACTTTGGAGGAGCAGAGACTTTGTCCAGTGTGATGCTTACCAAACAACAGGGGCTCTCTGGGATTACCCTCTTTTTCACTACTGGATGTTTTACTTGGGAAAAAAGAGAAGTAGCTGATAGTTTGACCAGAATTTCTAAATGTGCACAACAAAGCATCAGGCATGTACAGATACATAGCCCAGGAGTATTTCACAGAAGTTTACTCCAATGTTTATTCCAGCTGAACTTTCCTATCATTTACCAGTGTTCATATTACCCAAAAGCAGCTCCTGAGAGGATCCCAAGCAAGGAATGTCTCCCTGCTAGTTGTGTGTGTAAAAAAATAGACAAGAGCTGGTTCGGCTGATGGGAAACTGCAAACCAGGCTTTCACATAACTCTGGAGGGAGAATTCTGGAACAATTGTTTTGCTTATAACTTTGTGTGAGCATCAACTTTAAAATTAGAAAGAGCGGGGCTGGAAGGGTTTTCTGAGGGCCCCTAGCCAGTGTGCAAAGCAGGATCAACTCCTGCTATGTAAATGGCTCTGAGCAGTCAGGTGAGCAGCAGTGGGTGCAAATGGAAAGCAGGATTCTGAACTGTGGCAGGGCACGTGAGCAGGACTGGAGGACAAAGAGCAGGCTGGCTTCACTATCAGAGGGCAATAACCCTGCTGGAGAGACAAGGCCAGGGAGCAAGAGGGTTTCTGCAACAGCCCCCAGTAGCCAAGGCAGATGCTTTGACACAGTACAGGCTATGAAAACTCAAAACCTGCTGTGAAAGGAAAGGTGCAGAGAGAAAGCAAAACAGTTCAGAGCTCAGATATGGAGAGCCAAAGCTCCGTGAGAAGTGATGTGAGCAGTGGTGTTGGCAATGGAGGGGAAGGCAGAGCTCAAATATATGGCTATTAGGCTGAGGCTGGAAAAATGAAGGGTAAAAGGTGCTCCTGGGAGACTTCAACCCTTTCTAAGTGCTGGAGGGGAATGTGAAGAATGGCTGCCCTGCTCTCAGAGCTGGGATGCCTACAGCTCCCCCGACTTTGAATGGTGGAGGTTTTTTGTTGCACTAGCATGAATTATTAGAGCAGGGAAACGCTTCCACTCCTTTGGTATTTGTCACCGTCAGCAGCTCTAACTCCTCTCCTCAACTTCAAAACAGACAGCTACAGGCATTTAACTCCTGGGAACATAAATCCCACTTTGATTCAGGTTCTTAGCCACCTAGAAGGGAAAACATGCTTTTGCACAGCAGACCCAGCTCCACAAGGACTTCACACTGTGATCCTCATACCCCGTGCTTCTTAGCCCACTACTCCCCACCAGCTCATGGAAATCAAACCTGGCTTTCTGAACAGCCTGCCCACAGGCTTCTCAGTGAGCGCTGCCTAGGATTTGGGCACATAACAAGCATTCATTTTCAAAGCTGTAATCTGCACCCAAAGGGCCTTCTGGCAACTAGTTCTTCTTTGTCATATGGAGCAGAGTTTACCTGATCCTACAGTGAACATATTCCAGACATCCCAACCATGCATGCTGTCAGCTGCTGTGTGTAAACCACCAGCCTGGGAAATCAGGTGCCAAATTACTCCTGCATCTGTGAAGAACCAAACCCTACGGGGCAAGCTCCAACATCTGTTCTTGGTGCCCACGCTACTACAAGTTGCTTTGAAAACCTGCTTTACATTTTTAACCAGTTGTTAGTCATTCTACCTCAGGACAGGGCTGGAGCTGCATCCATGACGCTCCTCAGCAGCAGCTAGTTAATCCTGGACTTGTGTATATGTTGGATCCCCCAACTAACTCAGGCCATGGGACTTTTTTTTTTTTCCTTTGATGTCTTAGCCTGGAGGACTGCTCCTCACAAAGGTCCTCCACGCTTTTTTTCCAGGCCAGGCTCTGTTCAAGCCTTCCCAATATTCACATCCTCTCAAGGCAGGACCATTCTCTCATTCAGCAATGGTCCATGGGATAGAAAGGGTGGTGGTAACCATCTTTCCTAAGCTTTGTTCATCATAACAAGTGAGGAATCCAGAGCTAGATGTATGCATTGGTTCGACAGCTGACATTGGATCCTACCCTCTTTCCCCTAGGCTGTCCTTCTACTGTCTTTATCTCAACTGACAGATATTCACACAGCTCATCTATTTTGGCAGAATGGCTCTTTATGAAAGCCAGTCCTGTTGAAAATGTTTTATCCAGCTCTAATCATGTCTTGTCCCCTCTCAGCCCTAGATGAAAGCCAGAGAAAATGATGCAGAAAATTAAGAAATCTGGGGGGTTAGGGGGGGAGTCAGTTGAACACCACAGAATCCATGAAGGACTTTGAGTTCGAATGCGTGCAAATGGCCATGTAAATTTTTATCTTACCTCATATCTTTCCTTATTTGTAGCAGTTGGGATTAAAATTTCTGCCTTTTTCTTCTTTTCCATTAGAAACTACTTTATCTCCTAAACCCTGGCACCCCTAGCACTGACATGGCCAGCACAGCAGTAACAACAACAGAGCTTCACACCATGGAGGTTGTGGTGGACAGTGTAGCCCATGGTACTCCTAAGGAGATTTTCAAGGAGCTAGCATGGCTTCAGGGCTGCAGACTAGCCTGAAGAGATGCCATCGGGGCTTAAAGCTGATCCCAGCACCAGTGAAAATCAGATATACGAGGTGAAACTGAGATCAAGATTTCCTGCCTTTTTGAAGACAAACACAAGTGGTGGTGGAGTAAGGAGGAAGAGGGTGGGCTTGGAGAACAGAGCTACCAGCTGCATACCACCACCAGCAATCCCCCTCCTCCAAAGCCTCAGATAACACTAACCCCCCATCTGAGGCTTGTGATTATTTTTCAAGGCTTTAGTATCATTTGAGCAGGCATCTGTCACTGTTACTCAGCATGATTATGAATTGAGGAAATTATTTTAAAATGTGACCTTCGGCTTGGCATAGCCTGGCTGACAGATGGAGGAAGGAGCCTCTCAGCCTAGGGAGGAGCAGTCCCATGGGAACCCAGCATTACGTGACAGAGAGGCCTCTGCTACCGAGTAAGAGGTCAGCTGTACCCTAAAGCCAAGGTAGTAGCTAGAGAAAAATGTTTCTGAAGAAGCTGGGAAAAATCTAATTCCCCAATTATCTTTTTAAAATCAGAGGGAAGGACTTCCCAAGGCACGTGACTGCATGGGTCACCTAACAATACCAAAGTGCTCCTCTCATCAAAAGACCCAGGGATGCAACTGGCACTTACACACATCTCAGGAGAGGGAAAGCGAAGTACACAAGGTGCCACTGCTACCCCTCTGCTCTGCTAGCTCAGCCTGCCTCCTGCAGCTCTGGCCAGCCTACAGCTGGGGCAGGACGTGTTCATGAAGAGGAACGAAGGCTTTTGAGGGGAGGAAGGTCAGAAGAGAATGTTTATGGCTGAGTTGTCTCAGGAGGCACACTTAGGTTGGATAGATGCTAAATGTTCTCCAAAATGCAGATTTAGTCAGCAAACAGAGGACCTCAAGCAAACTGGGGTGAGCATCAAAGCTGTATCAGGCAGATTATCAGATTGCATTTCCTTCACAGGAAGAGTCAAGGACATGCCACTCAAATGCAATGGCAGCCACTCAGCTCCAAACACCAGATATTTTGGGGTGCAGGCCCAGGAAATGGATGCCACAGCCTTCTGTTTCCTTGCTTGTCTAGAAGATGCCTGAACTTTACATTCATCTTGCAGAGACTGCTTACATGTGTGTGAGTATCCAGGTCAAAGCACCTTCTGCTTTTTTTATCTGAAGTATGTCAGGTTTCCTGAAGCTGTTAATGATTTAAATAAATCCCAGAGTCAGATGTCTGTTCCAAACTCTGCGAACTAATATCAACTGACACTTGACTTGGGAAAAAACCCCAACTACTCACATCTTCATTAGATAGATGAGGACAAAATTATGATCAATTATTTTCCCTCAGATGCATTTCTCTTGTGAAAAACTAAATCAATCTCTTCATTTAGCAAATGAGACGCAACAAAGCATAGAGTACAAGGGCTCCAGTGGGCAGGAGTGCAGGCAGAGCCTGCTGTGCCCTGGGGATGAGCACTGCACAAAGATCTCTGCCAGTCAATAATTCAAGAGCCCTCTGAGAGCCATCTCAAGGGACAGAGCCTACTTTGACCACTGCCAGACCTTTTGGAACAGAAAGGGCCAAATGGATCCCCAGGATGACAGAACAGAGCTCTCCTACACAAAGATGAGGGGTCTTTTTGTGCCTCAGTGCTCTTTTTTGTAATTCAAGGCCAACATCGGACACCACCAGGGAGGGTCTGTGAGACCTGCTAAGGGTGTAAATATGATTTCACCACAGAGTATTCATCTCAATTTATCCAAACTATGGATGTAGCCAGAGGTCTCACAACATCCTTCCCCTGCACTACAGATAGAAAGAACTAAAATAAAGAGCAACTCATTGCCATCTCACAGCTCCTTTGCCTCTCTCTTTAAACCATGATAATGTATGATAGCTCAGATCTTCTCACATCCAGGACTTCATGCATGTAATGTTGCTAAAGGGCTGGGGGAGCCTAGCAATGAGACAGATACAGAAAGGCAATCAAAGCAACCAAATTACTGCTCCTGTAATAGTGATAATAAAGAATTTGGATGGCCAGGATATTTCCATGGTACTTACTAAATGCCAGGAAAGCACAGCTTTGATTCAACTAAACCTATTTTTCAAATAATGAAGCTTAGGGCAAACAAGATGTGACTTCAATATGTTAAAAGTGAAGATTATTGCTCTTTTATGGTATATCAAATGCAAAACTAAGTAGCAGTCAGGACTGCTGCATAATCGATCCTACACAGCCTGGTGACTATAACACCCATGTCATTCACAAGTTCAGGTGGTCTTGTAACAATTGTGTCATTAAAATATGTTTCTATTCACAATGAAAGTTTAAATATCACGCTTTAATCTGAAATAGTCTCTGTGGGTACAAGTAACAGAGAATTATCCTAGAAAGACAGAAAGATAAAAGGAAAAGGTTTTTCTCTGTTCCTGTTGTGTACTGAGTATAGGCATTCTGCAATCTGTTTGTAGTGTATTTTTCTGTTCCCTTGCAGAGTTAGTCCTGGATGTGCACAAGAAATGGAGCTGCCATCCAGCAGGAAGTGTTGACCTATTGCAAACTGCTGCAGAATCAGAATGGGAAGCTGAAAAGTTTGTGCCACGAAAAATTCCAAAAATTTACTGCATAGAAATGTCAAAACAAAATGTGTTTGCTGGGAATGAAACAATCCAACTTGTTGGCATGACATTTCTCATTTTAAAATACCACATCAAACTGATATTTCAGAAAGACCAATACCATTTCATTTTGAAACGCTAGCTTGCAGCAGCATTTTTCATTCTGATTTTCCCAGATTTTTTTTAAAAAACATAAAATTCATTGAAAGTTGCAATTGTCACTGACACATTTTTCTTTTCTTCTGCAGAGCTGGCCCTGCAAAACATGATGACCTCCTCTCATTAGCTTGCTTTTCTTGCTGTTTGTGTGAAAAGTCCACGTAGCAGAGGAAGAAATAAAAACAATCCTAGAACCTGGAAACCAGTGAAACCTTAAGAAGTGTTAACTGTGTGACACTCACAATTATATTCATTATATTTTCTGAACTGACTAATATTCGAGTAATCGTTGTTGATTTTACCATGCTGTGAAACAGATATTATTTTCCTGCCTAAAGACAGGCATGCAACTGCATTTGAAAGAGATGCACATAATGACAAGCTTCCTTTGCACATACAAATCAGTCTCCCCAGGCTGGGCCTTTTATATGCACAGCTACCTGGCTTGAATGTGTAACCACAAGGGTTAAGAATGTACAGTCAAGCGGAAGCAAGCACACCATTGCCTATTAAATTATTTCATAGCAACAGTGGAGAAGCAAGTGATTGTTATCTTCCCTGTTTTATAGATGGGAACAGTGAGAGAACTTACTGACATGCCCAAAATCACAAAGGGAGGCTGAAGGAAAGGCAGGTTTTGTAGCTGTGTCTTCAGAGTCTTGTTCCAGAAACTCTGCTGCAACAAGGCACATGAGCCTACTCTTGGCTCTGATGTTTCCTGGGCTGTGATTTTGAGAACACCAATTCATACAGCTTTTTCTCATCTCAGTGAGATTGAAAAAAACAAGATCGTCCGCATTAAATTCTCACTAGTTTAATGGGCAATCTAATACTGAGAGAATGCAGACTATGAAGTTATAAATACCATTGCGATTCAGTGCATTCTGAAAGAGAAAAGGCTGAAAGATGAGAGGAAATTATAGTTCTCTTTGTCTTTGAGCTGCACAGATGAGCAGTGTGTGGTGTTCCTGGCAGTAAGTGGTCAGCAGAGGCTGGCACAGAGATGAGTGGTCCACACTGCACTGTGGCTCCTGCACCAATTCCTGCTGCTGCCCAGGGCTTCCACTTAAGTCAGGTGGAGTTACCAGGGTTTAACTACATGCTATCTAAGGAAAGAGTCTGTCAGAACAGGTAAATCCTCCAAGAGAGCTTTAGCAAACTTAAGAAATTATCTTGAAGCTGACACAGAGGCTTCTCTCCATCCAGCATCATGGGGATACACAACACATCTTACCTGTGCCTTTGGTACTGTGCCCTTGCTGCTGTTACAAGGATTTAAGCTCAGGATGGGGAGCTCTTGGTCTTCAGACTTGTGTGACTCCAGGCAGCTCTGTCTTTGCCTGATCATCCCAGTCTGATAGAGCGACTCCTCGGGAATCCTGTGGGAACAGCGTTTAAACAACATCCATACTCCCCCAGGCCCATGGAGTACTCAAAGGAGGCTCAGTGGGGTAAGGTCACACCATTTCACCTTCACAAAATGGGAGTGGCAAGGTCTATTACAACAGGGAACCACTGAGAGCAGTACACGGACAGGGACGCTGCAGAAGCAGCGCTCGGAGATGGATGGCTGACCTTTACAAGAGGAAAAAATAAATAACAGTGCACAAGGCAAACAGAGGAGGAAGGAATGAGCAGGCTGAAGGTCAGCCTTCAGCTTACAAGAGTGAGGAACTTTATAACACACTGTCACAGAGCCCTGGTGTTCCCTGTAAATGCTGCTGTGTAATGCCACATACAGCAAAAAAACCCCAAGAAAACAGTTATAAATCACCATTTTCACACAGTGATTCTGCACTTAGCCATTGCACCAGCAGGGTGCCTGGCAGTACCTCCAGAACTTTTCCACCCTTTCTGAGGATGGCTCCTGATAGGAGAATGAATGCAACGGTTTCTAGAATAATTTTGGTAACTAAAAAATATCTGTGCAAAAGCAACTGTGGAAGTGGATATTAAGCAAAGCAAGGCAGAGCTATCTGAATACAAGTCATAAAATCCTAGAGTGGATGGTTTCACAACAGGGAAGTCTTGAGTACCACAGAACAGTGAGAAAGGACTGGAAATTAGGTGCTTCTTTAGTAAGCAAGAGTCATTAAGTACTGAAACAGCCCAGCAGAGGCTACGGTGGATTTTCTGCCTTGGGATACTTTTGAGAGAGAAGTTAGCTATTTCCCTATGCAACCTGTCCCACAGCACGGGCAGGAGGACACCTAATGAATCCCTGAGAGCAAATGGGAATAACTGGTGTTTTGTCCCTCATTAAATCCACAGCGAAGAGCTGCAAGGTCTATAAGATTGTTTAGAGAAAGCAGGATCACAAATCATAGGATCATAGAATATCCTGAATTGGAAGGGACCCACAGGGATACCCAAAGACCAACTCCCGGCCCTGCAGCATGGCACACTGTATTTGAAGCCAGCACAAAATTTACTTTGCCCTTCTGTGAAGCCCTAGGGAGGGGGTGCCTGAGTCTCTGGGGCAGAGGGACATGGAGGGACTGGAGATGAAGAGGGAAGTTCTGTGGGGCAGGAGGAATGGGGCATCCCACTGGCCTGCTAGAGACAGGTGGAGATGGCACATCCATACCGAAGTTCGGGATAAACGTTTTCCAGGTACCACTTGAAGCTGTGGCATTTCAACTTCTTCCGCAGCTCCACTCTGCTCTGGACACTGTAGGAAGAAAATACCATAGAGATGCAATGGAAATGAATAAAGTGAGACCCAACATACCAAAAAGGGAGGCTGATAGAAATCCAACAGATACGCACAGACAGCAAACACAAGAGCATCAGCAGCTCTATTTTCTGCTTTCTTCTGCATTAGCTTGAGAGGTTGTTTTGATCCCCACCTCTTTGGAGGTCTCACTTGGTAAAATGGCATGACGACATATTGCCATTTTAACAAGGAGTCTGAAGTTGGGCGCATAAATAGATCAACAGAAAAGTACAGTCATTTAAAAATTATCAGTAAAAAAATGTATGCTGTCTACTATATGCAATAAGCATTACTTTAATACATTAATGTACAAGGAAATTAATATATGCTATTCACTATACTAAGTTACTCTTAGTTTACAGGACTACAGGAGGCCTTGATTTCCAAGAGCACCTAAACACATTTTTAAGTCAGCAGAAGTTAATCTCATGGTGAAATACTTTTTTCTTTCATTAATCATGACAAAATTTCTGCTGAGGGATTAGGCAGTACAGTGACATTTTCCAAACTCCAGCTCCTCCCTAGGCCAGCCTGTGGAGCTGTTATGAGCTGGCATTTACAGAGTACTTGGAAGCCTCCAGTACCTTCCTTTTGCATAGGGTAACTTCTCCACACCCTCCTATAAAAAGCAGGACAGAGATGTTACTTCATTTGGTGCCAATAAATGGGAGTAGGATATTAATTCAGTGAAAACAGGTTAGTCAGCAGGACTTTAATTTATTTATTCTGGAGACTGAAGATTAGCTACAAGGAATTTGGGTTTGGATTTGGAACCACCTGTGGTCCACAGGAAACTTTCTAAGGCAAGGAGGACCATATGAAAATGAGAAATATAACACAAATATTTACAGTCCTCCTGACAGGGAGGCGTTTCTGACTGTTCACAGAATGAATGGCAAACTCCCTGCATACAAAGGACTTGCTCCTTTCCAATAAAGCATTAGCAGGCAAAAAAATTGATGATTTTCCTTCTCCTCAGCTGACAACAACACCTCTGAACTCTCCCACCAAACTCCCCTCTGGGACCAGAAGTATTTGTACCTAATGCCAAGGGTGGGACAATAGGTAAAGGTTTTCCCCCACCTGGGTTTGGTTCACTCTCTGGGATAAACCAGCACAGCATATAAACTGGCTGTTTATAGGTCTCGTTGCTGTGCTCATAGCATCTGCCTACCATTAGCATTTAATTGAGCGTTACTACAGAAACAACGCAGGCGGGTTTCCGCAGCAGAGCGACGTCACCGTGAACACCCCACTGCAGCAGGCAGGGCACAGGAAGGGCACAGGCAGGGCACAGGCAGAGCAAGATCCTTACTTTCCATAAGGCCTCCCCTGGGCTGCGGGACGAGCTGCGTAGTAGTACTGCTTGAACTCATCCATCCACACCTCCGCAGTGCGCTTGGTGTTTCTGAAGGAGGCAGCAAAAGACAGATGAAACCAAGGAAGCCTCCAAGATAACATTTTCCAAAATGTATTAACTGATCCATCCTGCTCTCCTCCTACCCTCAACTTGGTCTTTGGCATCACCCAAATCACCTTTGAGACAGCCCACTCCTTACTACTAGAGAAGGTACTCCTCCTCCTCATTACTCCAGGGACCAAACTCATCAGGCCAAATAAATTGGGTGAAGAATTCACCATTTCAAACTCAGCTGGATTCTTTGTATCCACCATACTTGGAACTGAAGGTTCTTTTAAGCATCATCTCCCAGGCAGGAGTGCCTGGTGTTTTATTTAGTGGCTTGGATGGAGCTCAGAAAAGTAGTGAAAAATTTGCCAAAGATTTGCAAATATTTCCTTTGAGTCAATCCTGTATAGACTCTCCTGCATTGCACTCCTGGATCTGACTGAGGCAAACCTCAGCATTCAAAACTTAAGAGGAACCACCCCACCACAGTGCATAAATATCGGTCTTCCACATCAGCCAGGTGTCTGCAGGTTTATGAACCTCAGCAAGTCTTCTGTTGACTTGAAATGGCTCTAACTCTTCTTGCAAATATCTTTGTTGCTCCATGCCTATCTGCCTATCTCTGCTCAGGCCAGGGGAGTCCTCCAATCTCCTGTTCCAAGGTAGGCCGGTGCCTCTAAGCTGTTGCTACGTCACTAAACTGCACGTGCCATGGGCAGGCTCTGGATCCAGCCAAGTCGCAGGAGGCCAGAAAAGGAGACAGTCAGCATGTGAAGCCAGCACTACACTGGAGTCCAGGCTCACTCTGAAGTATGGGCTGTGTGGAAAAAAATCAGGATCTGGCAGAAGGGTGGAGATATTTTTTGCTAACATCTCTACTTAAACAGAAGTACTACATAGCATCAGGTTGCCAGAAGCTGTTTCTCCTCTGTGTCTATATACTATAATATTAAGTTTAAGGCTGATAGATATCATAGGGTTAACAACATCCAACCTCCTGATGCCTACAGGTATGTTTCTCCAAACTGCTTTTCAGTTCCTTGATGATTCATGGGCTTCTTCCCCTCTCTCTAAGGAAATAGTTTAAGTGCTCTTGTTCAAGAGATGACTGAATCAGTGTTTACATCCGTACCTAACCTTCCCCAAAGTGCAGGGTTCTTTTGTTTGGCTTCCTGATCTCATCTGGATTTACAAGAAACACGGGGATAAATGATGAGGCTCACACCTACATGATACAGGCATCCCCTAGGTCCCCAGAGGCCTGTGCCAGAGAAGCAGCCAGAAGAGCTGTACCCATTCAAGCTCTCCTTGCTCCTCCTGCAGGTGATGCAATGCAGACACTACCTTTTCCCTCAGGTTTGCACTGATGTCGACAGCAGAGATTTTGCCACATCCCAGCCTCTTCTGTACGAATCTTACTTCAGTACTAAAAGCAAGAGCCTTCCTCATGACTCTCAAACTAGTGCTCTCCTCCTTGATTCCAGCAATGCCCTGTGCCCCTCAACACCGGCTATTCAAAGCAAGGCGACAAAGTCCCCTTCCTCCCCCACACACTGCATGGCTGGAAATCATGTAACTGAGAAGTGTAATTTGCACTCCCCCAGCTCGTTGTCTCATGTAAAAGATAGGGAAGCTGCAGAGAGCCTGGGTCTTCACAAGTGCTGCTGGCTCTTTCTAACACTGGGAAGCCTGCACTAAAAGGAATGCCTGGTGTGTAAGCACTCACAACTGCAGGTTAGCTGAGAAACAACCCTGTATTTAGTATAAGTACCCCACGTGTTTGTCGTTTACTTAAGCAACAACGTTTGGCCTCACAGTCTAAAAACAGAGAACATCCCTCCTGACCTCGCTAGCTGCTACCATCAACTTTCCCATGCCTATTCTCACTTCTGGATTGCCTTCTTCTTTGCCTGATGTTTTCAGGATCTTAGCCCATTTCAGCCAGCCATTTCAGTATCTCATTCAGCCTATGTTCCTGTGTTTGACGAGAGGTCCCCTTCAGCTGGGATGCCCTGGCAGTTCCTCCAGTGTACATGCCAGCAAGGTGCGCCCATTGCTGCCTCTGCTCAAGAGACAGCACCAGTCCAGAGGCACAGTCACCCACTCCAGCAAGGTGCTTGGCTCCCCTCTTGGAGAGACTTTGGGAACCAAATTTTCTGGTTCGGCTAAGCCATGCTGAACACGCAGCTAAGGTCACTGGGTACTGACAGACATTGCTGGCAGCCTGATTGCAGGTCATTATAAATGTATTCTGATGACTCAAGGTCTAAATCATTTGCTGTTCCAGTAGCTAGTGGTCAGAGATGTGCTGGGGCCATTCCTCCATTTCTGTGCTGATGGAAGGTACCATATAAATGTCCTATTTTTGTCATTTTCTCGACACTGTAGAAATCCTGCAGGACAGTTGTACTAATATGCACGTTCTTTGGCTCAGGAAATTTCTGCCCAAGGATATTTCAGTTTTCTAAACAAACTTTCCTCCCTGTCTTCTCTCCTCCTCCCTCCCTACAAGGCAGCTCCTCATTCTGTTTCACAAAAAAGAGCAAGTACAAATCACTTACTTAATGTATGTATTGGCATTTCCCTCTGGAAAGACGTATGGATGCTTCTTCCGGAAGACATGCCCAACACGGCTGCAGGGGATGATTTCCAGGCTCCCTCCGCACATCCACACACGGAAGGAGATTTCTACAAGAGAAGCAGTTTCAGCATTTTGTCTTTTTGTCCTAGAGCAGTCTGGATTCTAGTGTTAGCTCTCACTTCATCCCCTGCCACATTAAACTTGGCTAAATCAATTACCAGAGGGGCTCTCCTAGGCAAAACTGCCTTAAAAGTGCATTTCAAAGCTTCTTGCAAGCTGTTTGAAGTCAGTGCACTTGAAACCTGCCTCTAGCACAGCAGGTGCTATCACAATGGCAAGCATGAGACAGTAAGCAGGTCCCTTTCCATGCAGCCCCGCTTACATTGCAGAATTGTCTTGCCAGTTTTGTGCTCCCCTAATTACTTCTGCTCTGCCTATTTCAGAGTCACTTCCCTCCAAAGGGCTGCCAAGTTCACCACGAGAGGCTATGAGTTCTCTTTATGAATGACTACAACTGTCATTTTCTTTATGAATCCAGCATTGATTTTGCAAACTGAACAGGGAGTTGTGCATCCATTGCCTGCCCCAAGATGGACTGGAGCTTACCCTGACCAGGTACTGTGCCATCAGTGCCAATGTTGTGGTACAATATGGCACACACCCTCACACAAGCAAAGGTCAGTGGCGGGAGGGATTATCTCAAAAGTCTGGATAAGCTGTCAGTATGGGAAATGACTCCCAGTCACTCCAAGCCACTCACTGGCTGGCCCATGGGGCCCTTCTTAAAGAAAATGAGCCTGTGGCACAACTGATACCAGAAGTTACAGAGCTCTTGGCAGGGAGCTGGATTAGGTAGGACAGGTGAACAGAATGGCTGATCTAATGGGCCCATCTGGTCCTAATGTTTATGAAGCTATGAATCTGCAGCTCTATTGTCAGGAAGTCATGCTCAGACGGAACCAGCATGGAAAAGAAATGAAATTAAATTGAAAAGGCTTCTGCGGGTCTTTGAATCCTACTTTATCGACTGTTGACAGTATAGAGCTATAGGTAGCATGTATCTACTCCAAAACTAATAATTCATTTTCACCCCCCCATTTAACTACAGAATTAAGACAGGAGGACACCCATCATCTTTGCCAGCTTGTGCTCCCAGCAGTCCTCTCACATATGCCAAGGCAAGGATGACTTGTCCCCAGGTCAGATGCTGGCAAGACAAGCACCTGTGGCAGGCAGGCCAACTGGGCAGTGTGGACAGGACTCCTCCTCCTCCAACGGCAGGCGCTGCTGGCCTACAAAGCTGCCATCCCTCCAAAAACAACTCACAGTTTCAGGGAGCAAAGGCGAATTGGAGTCTGGACCTCCAAAGCCTTCTCAATACACATGGCTCAGCCCCAAGTTGCATGTTGTTGCAGAGGTGGAAGCCAGGTTAATGTTGCTCCCATCCCACTCCCAACACACCCGCCTGCTCCTGAGCTGATAGAAATGGGAGGCTGACACAGCTGCAAAGACTTGGTGTGCGGGCCCAAAATTCAAGGCTTGATCCCATCCCTAACAGCTGGCCCTGGGAGCAGGGACAAACAATGGCAGTGGTGGGAAAGCACAGTAGGGAGGAGTATCCCTTCCCAGAAATTCCCTGCCCTTCCCTTTACTGCTGTGTTTACACGCAAGAGCTGCAACAGCAGCTGGAGCCTCACCACTTTCCCCAGTGCTGGGTATTAACAGGTCAATAAAAGGCGCCTTTGTGCCATGTCCTGGTGCTGTATTGGGAGCAACCTTAATCACAGCTGCAGGGAAATGAGATTACGGCAGGATATGGCCACTCTAAGCTGCTGTGCTCAGTTCCCCTTGCATGTGGCTGTCGCTCTCATTTGTCTGGGTGTCACAGCGCCAGCCACTCTGCCAGTGCTGCTGTGTAAATTAGAAGGGTGTCTGATAAAAGGGGACAACCAGACAAGCAGCTGTCGATTGGACCACAGCGTGGCTACTGCCTCATGCTTTCCCCTCCTCTGGTCCTTCTGCTCAGCCTGGGAGAAGAGCAGCTCCCTGAAGCGCTACAAGGGAAAGACTTGCATCGCTCAGTCTTCGCCTGGTCTTAATGTAAAGCCTAATGAAGACATGATCTCTGTGCACTGCAGTCTGGAATAAGGACACAGTGCTGGGGAGGCATGAGATGGTGAGGACTCTGAGTTCCCTGCTTCAGACTAGTTGCACCCTGCAGACCCTGCTCTAGGCCCAGCAGAAACAATTAAAGCACAGGTTTCCTCCAGCAGGGATGACCCACGGAGTCATCCATGGCAGCTAACAAACAGGGTATCCAGACAGGCAGCCAAGAGCTAAGTGCCTCAAGAGAAGGTAAACTGAGGCACCAGTTAAAACATGGCACAGGGTCAACTCAGAGGAGCCAGGGTAGCAGGAAATGACAGTGTGCATCACTTGACCCTTGAGAGATATTGCCAGTGCAAGTGGTCCCTTCAAGTGGCCCCAAGAAGGGATGTGAGCAATACGCATTGGGGTGCACTGGACTTGGCCTTCATTTGGCAAAATACCTTTAGCACTTCTTGCTGGCCTGCAAGTCCTTTCTGCCATTACTCATCTAGAGGGAATTAAGTACATTTAAGAAGCAAAACACCTACAATGTCCTTCTTCCAACACAAAGAGACTCATTTTTGTTTTGCCTAAAGTCTCCAGCCCCCTCTAGTTGCACAGTCAATAACATTAAAAGCAGCAGTGATGTTCCTCAGGACCGGAGTCCTGCATCCCCTCAGGACTAAGCTACCAGGAAAAGCATGGTTCACTGCAAGCACCCAAAATGAGCAGATGCTTGGTCAGCTCCCGCTCTCCATCACCTGCCCAGAACTGACTGGGCCCAGGAGGGTCTCAGCTGCCCTTGCTTATGTGCAAAGGAGAGACACTGCCCTCGACTGCTGTGCCTGCAGGAGATGCAGCTGTGAGCCAGGCACACTGCTGCTCTCAGGGCGATGGGCAAGAGAGGATCTGCCCTGCTACTATGCAGACCTGCATTTTTTTGTTGCAAAGTTAACCTGCCTGGCTTTCCTTTGTCACACCAATGTCCTGGCACACCCTGCAGCACAGCCAGTGTATATTCAGCTGGGACCAGCCTTCTGGGGCACAGTGAGGGAAATCTTGTGCTCTGCTCCATAGGATGGGCCATAACCACATGTAAGGAGCACAATGCCTACCATTACAGGGCATTGGACAAGTTGCCAGGATGGAGCTTCCCCCAAGAGCAGGCTGTCCTGTCACTGTTCATCTCCCAGGAGCAGCTCGGGCTGGCTGCTGTCAGAGGCGAATGACAAGCAGCGACAGCAGGTCAGACACAGCGTGACAGTCCTTCTTCCTCCCACTTCCTGTCTAGTTCCTTTCTTTGTTTGGGCCATTGATCCAGCGGGGGAGGCAGGAGGGCTGTCACTCCTCTCTTTGGTTTCCTTAGAGCCACCCCACTCAGACACTCTGGGTCAGTCTGGTGGCAAGATACCCACCCACAGAGAGAAAGCATGAGTGAGTGAGATCCTACTGCACAATAGGATATAACTAAATATATATCTAGGGGGACAAGGCATGTGAAGCAAACAACAGTGCCAGGCAGCGAATGGATTACTGCAAGGTGGCAGCATCTGTTCCCTTGGATGACTGACAGCATTGCTGTATGTGTTAAGACACAAGATCCTTCCTTCCTGGCTAGCCATACTCCCCAGGGGTGCAAGCTATTAAAGCCAGGTTCTGATCTGTCTCACTGACATCCAATGCCTCCCTCTTCTTTCCTGGATACAGTGTATTGCTCTAATCTACAGCATTGCTACAGCTTCAAAGAGAGAACAGCCCAACCTGATCCAGCTCCACCTGACAAGGAGGACAAGGGACAGGCTGTTACCTCTTTCATGTGCCCTCTTAATGTCCATCCTGTCCCGTGACAAGGGGCAGAGGTGACTGAATTTAGGTCAGCTCTTAACCTATTATTTTGGTGCAGGAAAAGTGAGTGTCATGGAGAGCCTGGCAGCACTCAGCCAGTCAGTGACACAGGAATGGATAAGCAGTTGTGTTACTTTGCCACCTATTTGCAGCATGCCGAGGTAGCTACTGTTCCAGGTACTCTGCAAATTCAAGGAGGCACTGATGCCTCAGTTCACAGCTTTGAAATGCTGTTGGCAATGGAATAAGACATATCTTTGCTTTATTAAGGGGAAAATAAGATCAGGAAAGAATATGAGGGCAACACCAAAGCTGAAAACTCTGTGGTTTAGGGTATTTACCTACAGAACATCAAAGCAGCATGGAAGACAGGCAGTCCTGCATCCCAGCAATTGCTCAATTCCCATCATTCCCATCAACAATATGGTTGTTGGATTCCTTACATTACTGAGACCATAACCTATGAATGTCAGTGAGGGAAACCATCCAGAGCATTCAAAGCAAAGTCCAAAATGACCTTGTATCCATCTGGCATGACTCCGAAAGAGAAACCAACACAGCAAGGCAGAGAATGAAGAAGAATGACTCACCGAAGTTCTCCCCACCCCAGATGTCCATGGCACTGTCATATTTCCCCAGGTGGTTGAACCAGGCTTTGTCGATCACAAACAGCCCTCCAGCAATGATGGGTGTCCTGCAGAATGGGTAAGGAAGAGAGGACACACTTTCAAACACTGGATGCACAGAAGCAGCCCTTCCCTTTGCCTCCTTTTCCATCACTGGGACATTACCTATGTACTTCCTTCTCACAAAGAAAAAAAAAGGACAATGTACTTCAAAATGCATCTGAGCCTTTCTTTCAGCTGCCTTGGTATTTTGCTGTCAGTCAGAAACTGCCTGGCACTTAATGACTGCCTAATGCACCCGTTAGTACAACTCCTACAAACCCAAAGTTCACAGCCCTGATTGTAGGCTTCAGCATCCAAAATGCACTTAGCACTTGGGGGGTTATTCACTCAGACCAGCTTTTTGCCTGGAGCCAGCCTATTAAGAGCACCATTCCACCGGGGAGAGGAAGGCAGAGCCAATTCAGAAAGGCTTTTTAAAAGCCATCACTAGCTGTGTGATCTTTATTTCAAAACAGGATTATTTTTCAGACTTTGGATTAACTAAGAAAACTGCACAGAGAAGGTCCATGGAGGAGGGGAGGGCAGACCCAGAAGATAGCTTGAGGAGAATTGCTGTTTGCTGGCACAAGTCTCCTCCATGCCTCACAGCCCAGCGCTTCATGGCTGGGGCTGCAGACACCAGCACCAGGCTTGCTGCCAGGAGAGATTTTCGGCAGACTGAAGAACTCCCTCCACCCCACAGCATGAGGACAGATGGCATCTCTCCTGTTCAGTTTTGCTCTCTCTCCTGCACATCCATTTCTGAGGAGCCTTCAGTGAGGTTCAGGAGAGCAATGCTGATCTGGAAAGACTTGGCCTAGACATCGTGGGCCAAGGCCTTATTTTTAAGTGACAGCTGAGCTGAAAGGAGCGGTAGTCTACAGCACTGGGCTTTTTCCCTAACCACAACACCAAACCCTAACCATTACCAAAACACCAATAACCATAAATATATCCCTTCTACCTTTGTGGCACTCTCAGGCTTCAGTGCTGGGGGTGAAGCTGTACTGCAAAACCCAGGCTAGCCAGAAGTTTGCTATAGGTATTAGAAGTTCAGAGGTGTCCTGGAAGAAGCAACACACCGCTATGGTGTATGGGGACACACATCAGGTCAGAAGAGAAGCCTGTCCTGCCCCACAGGTGCCTCCTACCCCTTCTTGACTTACTTAATGGGTTCGGTGGGATCAAGTCTTTTGGCTTTCTGCTCCGGGGAAAGCTGCTCCCATTTGAAATGCAAACTCCAGTCGAAACCTAAAACCAAAGCAGAGAAGTGCCATGGGGACATTAGAAATTGGTATGAATTGGGAGGCAATGCAGGATGCATAAGCTGTGTTTGATGAAGCATTTTCCCCACTTTCAAATGACTTTAGCCACACAGATGCAGCTCTTGGGAGAAGAGTCCAATCACTAACATATTTTACTACTATGTATGAACAAGAAACAACACATTGCATTACAATTGCAAAGTCAAGCACTCCAAAGGCAGAAAAAGTCAGAATTAAAGCTGCTGCTGAAACCTTGCTTAGTCCCCTTGTGCACACGGACACACACTCTGACGGATACTGCATGCTACAAATAGCACAGGCATACTAATAAGCGCTACAGTTGCATCCTTCATTTATTGCCTAGATATCCCCCATCTCCTCCTGTCACTTTCAGTGCTGCCCGGGATGGCTTTGACATGACCCTTCTTTCCTGCCTGACTGCCTTATCCACTGTAGCAAACACTATTGCTCATGCCACACTCACCTGTCTCTAGAATAGCCTGGAAACAGCCAGCGGGGAGCACTGAACAGTGCTAATGCACTTTTTTTGTGAGGTAGCAGGAGCCAGAGGTGTGGTGCAAAGCCACCATCTCCTCAGGCCAGTGCATGTTCACACCACGGCTGGACACCCACAGGGCATGCATGACGCTGGGACTTACCTCCTCTGAGGTCTGAGGAAGCCGCCACATAAGCAAAAGTGTCCAAGTTGATGATGTCAATAACGGGGCTGACCACTCGGGTGGGATCCTGGAAAGCAGGACCGAAAAGACCTATGACTTCAGATGACACCACTCAAACTGGTCAAGGGATTCTCCAAGCTGCTGCAGACATCAGATGGCTGGAAATGTTGGCGTCATTCAGGATTGTCAGGGACCAGTGCCCATCACTGCCTCCTCCTCCTCAGCCATCACATCGATTCAACCAAGGAATTAACGGCTGCAGCACCAAGTGGCAGAAGTACTGCTGGGAGCCAGGGGCATGTCAGCAAGAGAGGCTGGAAAGACAGGCACTCTCTGTCCTGGGAAAGAGGGCTGTGTGCTGCTGGGCTGCTGAGCTGGCATCTCCAACCATCTTGGGTTTCACCCACAGTCTTGCCCTCCACAGGCTGGAGGGCTGGATGCAAAGCTCCTTCTGCCTTTTGCAAATTCACCAGTGTATTCCCCTTTCATCTCACTTTTAATCAGATTTCAGAAATCAAGTGACAAACAGGCGATTGAAATGACAGAGGAAAAACACAGTCACATAGCTCAAATACAGGTATTTTTTATAATGCGCAAACTATGGCAGTACAGTTAAGAGTTTTGCCAAAGGTGTGAAAGGGTTAAAAAAAGAAGACCTGATTTATTTAAAATAGCTGGTGGTGATTTAATTAACATCTTGCTATGGGCAAAGAGATTATACAAACAGTTATGAACAAAAATATCTACAGGAGGAAGAGACTCTGACAGCTTTGACTGGTCTCTTATCTCCCTTTTTCTTTTCGAAAATCCCAAACTCCAATTATAGCTCAAACTTCAAGGTTTTACCCTCACTAGATCAAATTGTTTTTCACAGCCATACAAAGGAAAGCATCTGAGCACACACGGGCTTGCTCTCTCGCTGGGAAAAGACTTTGTTTTAGAAATTAGTCCTGACAAAGGAGTATTCAAATGCAGCTGTAGGAAGAAGCAACCAAAGGCCATGAGCTGGGAGCTGGACTGGAGCCGATTTTCCAATTGAGCATGACAAATACTTGGTATTTCCATAACAAGGTCAAGTCAGGGGTCTTACCATCACTTTCTGTGAGTCAAATATCTCGCTGAAAGGGCAAGGTCTGCTCTATCTATGTATTGCATGGGGAAACTCAAGTCACATCCAAGCACGATGAGCCTTTCAAACCCATGAAACCCATCGTGGCTGCTGCACAGTGCCCCCCCCAAGCTGCCACAGCCCAGTACAGCCAAGCATCCTGCAGTTGCTTGAGGGCAGGGGAAAGATTTTAAGCAAAGCATCTGCTTTGTGTGCTGAACACAGCATGGAAAGGATTGTATACACTCATTTAAAACTTGTCCCTCAAGCATCTTATAGCTGACACTCATCTCCAACTTCAATTTCACTGCTACTCATTGCACAGCACAACTTCTTGTAAGAAAATCCCCTTCACATCTGGGCTGAGTGCATTACTGCAAAACGCTACCCTTGAGCAGTGCTGCCTTCTCCCTGCCTCACTTTCCCTGCCATGTCCTCGGAACATTTATATTTACTCAGCTTTCATCAAGGTCTGTCTGACCCTCAAAAGAAAAGCATGGCATGCTCAAGAGCACAGCGCTGTTGCTATGATTTATTTTGGGCTGAGCACCAATCTTATTATAGGCAGCTTCATCTCTCTGGTTTTTTGATACCCACTCATGGCAGGGCATGTTATTATTAACAACACCCAAATCTTCAATTCTCTTTCACAAACCTGAGAATTCATTTCCCCAATACGCTTCTCAAACATACCAACGTATGGATCTAAATGAACAGAAAAAAACTCTGAAAATGGTCCTGAAGATAACAGATACATTTAAGCCTTGGAGAAGGACCTTGACTGCAGCTTGTCTCCCAGCCTCTACATCATGACCTTGTAATGGTCAACAAAAAGGGCCACAGTTGCTCCTCTGGCCCCACAGCAGGATTAGGCAAGGTAAGAGGGTCAAGCTGCCCCCGTGTGCATCCCCCTTCCCAAGAGAGCACCAGACTGGAGAGGTATTTGAGCTGTAAGTAAGGGGTCGCCATTCACTGGTTCATCCCAGTGCCATTTGTAAATACAGTTTTGGGGCGAGCTTGTTGAGTCATACTGTAAAAATACCTCAGGCTGCATAATTACATTTTTAGAAAAGTTATTCAGTTGAAATGCACCATTAATGGCTTTAGAGATATTTGTTCCATAAGTAAAAACAAGAGCCCACGCACTCTCAGTCATGCATTTGCAAACACACTGGTGCAAGACACCGACCATCGTTGCCACTCCCTGGGACACACACCGTCCTAGGCACAGGTCTGACACCCCTCAGACTCCCCCTCATTCCCCCACACTCCATCACTTGCTTTTCCTGCTTGTTTCCAAATCCATATGCTGGGTATGTGCTGCCCACACCCACAAGTGAGTGTCAGCCTGGGGGGGATACCATCAGCTGCTGGGAAAGCTCGATGTAAGGCTTGAGGGGCACTTTCACAGGGGTGCAAGGTGCCACACATGAGCTCTGGTGTTTCCTACCATGAAAGCTGCAGGAATAGCTGCTCTGGCTCAGAAAACAAGGGAAGTGATGTGCAGGGGTGGGTGGCCGGTGGTGGAAAAAGTGTCCAGGTTTGCTTTGAGGCGCTCAGCACCCATTTGCTTGGAACTTAAATCACATTAGCTCAAAGCAAACTGTTCCTAGGAGTAACAGACTGAGAAAATGCTCTTCCTAGGTGGCTGATCCTCACGGAGTGGTTGGACAGGGAGCCCATCTCTTGAGCACAGCCTGAAGGTGGCAGCAGTAACATTTCATACACTTCACTGATCAATATTTTAATCCTGATGGAAAGGATGGGTACGGTGGTCCTGGGAAGAAGGAAACCAAGGACTCTGCCCTTATCCTGCAGCTCCTGCGAGCAGTTAAAAAGCAAGCAAGTGGGACTGCCCTTGTTTTGTTAGTCCCTCAACACTCTTTGTAGTATGTCTCCCTTGCTGCCTGGGGCTGTAAAACACTGGACAAAGCGAGGGCAGCACAAGCAGCAGTGCAACCTTATAGACTGCCTTCCTTCCAGCTAGAGAAAGATTCAGTCCAGAAGAGCAAATAAAAAAAGTCCACAGAGGTGATGTGTGCATTTGATGCTGTATTCAGACCAGGAGGCAGTGAAACTCCTATGGTGATGCTGCACATGGCACCAGAGCTGCGATTGATAATATGAAAAGACCATTTTAATTACATTTATCAGTAGTACTGTTGCCCAGCCTGCACACCAAGGTTGGGACCTCTCCAGCACTGGCTGCACTATGACTGCCAGCAGCACCAACAGCTCTCCCCTGCTGCAGAGGGACCTGACCTGGTGCTCTGCCCCCCTTCCCCTGTCCCATCACTGGTGCACAGAGGTGGGAACAGCACAGAGGTGTTCTGGCCCAGCCAGAACAGCTATCACATATGGAGGCGTGAAAAGCAGGATGCCTTGGATGAGGGGCACTGTGAACACCAGCTAGGCAGATTTCTCCATGACCCACCACCTCAGCTTTCCCTTGCTCCTCAGATGCCCTTATGTCAACATAGTTCAGTAATTTTAAAATTACTGAGTAATTAACACTACCAATGAGGAACCAGAGGTGTAACGAAGTGAAAGAACAAGGCATGGAGAAGGGAAAGGATCATGCATCTGTGCTGAAGCTGAAGGCTTCATCCCCTGCACCCTGGTGTCAGCAGGTCACCAGCACAGAGCTCCCCCAACTCGAGTGCCAAGGCGCCGGGAGCCTCCGTGTGCACGTCTGGCAAGAGAGTCGCCGCCGGCAAAAGGAGAATGTCATTGTCTGCTCCGAAATCAGCAGAATTTAAATCCTATTAAATCAATTTATTAGAGCTTAATTTGCATGAAATTAAATTCGGCCCCTATTCAAGGAGCCGTCACTCCCTTAAATCATCATCACTGAGCATTTTACATGAGCCTAATTAAAAACTCTGCTGGAGCACTGCCCACATATTCCCCTTTCACCACTCAACCTGTGCTTGCCAGTTAAGAGTCTCACTGCCCTGGGAGACACCTTGTCCCACCCACCCACATGCTCCCCCAGTCACAGAGACACCCCATGTGGCTGTTGGGTGGAGGAAGACCAGAATAGGCCCAGAAGTTCATCACTTCCTTATTCGGATGCCTTGGATGCCGTTGGTTATGGCTGGACGGTGGTGCCCATCGAGAGGGAAGAGGAGGTGGACATCACTGATACATCCCCTGAGGGTGATCCTGGTCTCTCAGGAGCACTCACCTCTTTGATCCTCTGCAGCAGAGGGAGCAGCCAGTCCTTATTCACCTCACAGTGACTGTCCAGAAAGGTCAGGACACCTGCTTTTGCCACATCTGCCCCTCGGATTCGGGACCGGATCAGACCTATTCAGGGACACACCACATCAGCTGCTGTCCAGATGGCTGGGTAACACCCCCAGGCTCCTCCAGCATGGTCTCTTGCACTCATGCATTCCCTGGGTTTTGACCTGCCTGAACCTCATTCAGATAAAACATGGCCCAGGTTCATTGCCTCCCTCCTGATGCTGCAAGGTATGCTAACCATTTCCTAAGGTCCCCAAAGCAAATAAACGGTTCCACCAAGATATACGATTTATGCCATTTATGCCAATCCTTAATTTGCACAATTAATTCTGCTGTCACGTTCTGGGGCAAAACACGACTCAAATGCTTCCATGACCCCCTTCAGGTAATAAATCTAACACAGACATAAGACAGTGGGGAATGCGCCAGGGGAATTGAGGGTGGTGCCAGAATTAAGCTTTTCTTAGACTGTTAACTTTCCCCTGCTGTGCCTCTTTCTGTGTCCCAGTGACCCCCAGATCTCTCTCCTGCCCTGGGGCAACTTGCTGATCTGCAGCTCAATGGGAACACATTTTCTACCAAGGAAAGAGAGTTGTTTTTAAAGGTGCTAAGAGCCCACTTGGCTCATCAGGGCCCTGATGGTGAATTTAGAATCCTTTCGAGATGGCAGTGGATTGCTGCATGCGTTTGTGAGAGAGAAAAATGAAAAAAAGAGGGAGGTCATGAAAAGCAGCTGCACACATGGATTTCACACTAAACTCTTCAGCAAAATCATTGCTCTTAAAGATGCTCTGTTCTTATTTACGCAGGAGTTAAAAAGCTTTTCAACATTCCTCCTGTATGCAGTTGATGCTCAAGTGAACTGCAGCACAAGAAAAGAGATGATTTGTTTGCAAACAAGAGGGGATGCAGGTGACTCAAGAAGAGCAGAGCTTCTTTAGGAAGAAGAAACAGCGGCCATAGGGACAGATAGAGACAGAAGGGTTTCAGGGAGCAGTCACACATCAGGTCCATGTAGAAGGTCACCGACTTTCATATTAAAATTCCCTAGAGGAACAGGGTCAAGGAACAGCCTCTGAGCAGGAGGGAGAGGGACAGGAGAACAAAGCCTGGAACAATCCAGCATTTGCCAAGGTCACCTTCTACAATACAGATTGTCACTGTATCTCTCTCTGCAACTCCTAAGACCTCATGGGTAGCTACGTGTTCTGCACCAACTCCAAACCTCCCCAGATCCCAGCAGGCCCTGAAGGATACAACTTAAGTGATGTATTAAGCAATGTAATCCTTGGGTAAGCATTGTATTAAGCAAGGTAAGGCTGGTTTCCCACATTCTGACTGATTTACAGACCACCAATACCTGCGGGTCTATATGCTGGAGATAAGCACACATGTACCTCCATCACACAGGACAGAAAGATGAGAAGGAGGTGAGGGTCTATGGAGACCTCCCTTACTCTCCTGCCAAAGCAGGTATGTCTCTTACACCCATGAGATTTGTTGCCACCCTGTCACCAGACCTGCAGAGCTGAAACCCTCTGCAGAAAGAAACCGCAATAAATCTCCACTCCTCAGTCTCCTCAACCCAACACCCACCTGGACTCGCACCTTTGATTTGCAGCATGAAAAAACTTAGGGTTTTGTTCTCCTAATACCGCAAAGCATAATTTGAAAGCACAGACGCAGGCTATGGGGGGTCGGAAAATGTCTCAAAAGGTTCCCAGCAGCAGCCCAGTAGGACATACATTCATCCTCCATATAGCCTTTCTTAATCTTTCAAATATAATTAATTATTAAAAAAAAAAATCCCACAGAAGCAGCAGGAGCAGATCTCCTCTCTTTTATTAGAGCAAACATCTTTACAAATAAGACCCGGGGCTTTGTTTTGCCTGTTCTAATTTTCTGGCTAATAAGCTACAGCTGAGCCTCACTGGATATCTTAATAGTCCCATCTTTTTCAGCAAGAGAAGGGAGATCCATTTCAAATCCCAGCCCTTTATCACATTCCCTTTTTTCATGGTCCTCCTGTCCCCAGGAGCCGCTGACCTCCCTTGTTGGCCACTCCATGGAGGTCTCCCCTGACTCCATCGCTCTCACACCTCCCGAAATCTGGGTATCCCACTTGGGTTGTGGGCAGGTAGCTCTTACCTTCTCGTCGTCCATTCCGCAAGCACTTCACCTTGGGGAGCTGTCCCAACAAGCGGCAGTCATCAGCTTGGGAAACACAAAAGGGAGGACATGTCACCCTCAGCCCTCATGGTGGCTCTGGCCGCAGAAATGGGGAGTCCTAGAGGAGACTGTGAGCAGGGAGTACCCTGTCCTGGACTGGCTGATGGCTTGTTAGGGTGGTAGCAGCGCTGGGTCACAACACTCTTACCCCTCAGCTCATGCAGCACAAATCCCAACTGGCACAGCAGCAGTTTTCACAAAACTAGTGTAAATTCAGCAGACTGACACTGAAAGCAGCTGAGTTATGCTCTAAAATCAGCACAGAAGAGTTGTGGTTGGGGTCAGAATCTGATTTTTTGCACAGTAACGCAAATTACTATTTTTGGTAGCTGCAAAGCAACGCACAAGCTCTTCGATGTGCGTCTGGTTGGCAGGGCAGGAGCTTCCTGTGGTGGCCTGGAGGCTTCAGTGAGGAGAAAGGGACGGTCAAAGAGAGCCCTGTGGAGGAGCTGGGGGCTCCTTGTGCCCTGGGCAGCAGCTCTATGGGGCAGAAAGGCCTGACAACCACCTACACCTGAGCTAGGGAGGTCCTGCAATCCCACACGCAGTCACTTCCTGCAGCACCAGCATCCATCTTCACCTGGATTTCTCCCAGCAAAGTGGAGGATGTCAGAGCAGGGCCAGAGCTGGGTCTGCAGGCAGGTGCACCCATCACAGCTCCCTCTATCTTTGCACCCTCATGCTGTGACTTCCACAACCCCTTCACGCCTCTCACGGCTCTGCCTCCTTTTCATTGGCGCTATAAAGACACACACACGTGCCCCATGCCCTCTGCCCAGCCCCTGCACCAGCACACACCTCCGAGCACTTTCATCTCCTCCAGCAATCTTTGCTGGTAAAGAGACATCACTGTACCCATACCCTGAACAATTCGGGGACAGAGCTGGGACAGGGGAGCAGAAGTGGCAGGGCTTGGCTACAGACCTACAGTGGAATTCTGCTGTGAATTCACATGCAGAAAAGCTGCATCCCAGTGAATAACAAGGCCAGCAGGCAGAGAGAGGTGAGAAATGAGACACAACTGGGCATGAGATAAAAGCACTAATTGTTTGGGGTGGGTTGCAGGGAAAAAACTGACCATGTGTGTATAGTGTATTATGCAAATACATGCATTTTATGTAAATGCATGCAGAGCAGATGCCAGCAGGCTCAGACTATCACAGGAAAGAAGATGTCAGAGAGGTGAGAAGTGCTGAGTAGCTGAGGGGCTGCTCTAACTTACGCAGGAAACATGCTCCCCTCTGGTGCCCTGGGATGAGTTTAAACCCAGCCCTGCTCGTTCTCCATGGCTCATGGCAGCTGGCATGCTGTGACAAGGGAGCTTCATTTCTACAAACCTGTTTCCTTTCAGGAAGGCAAGTACTTTGTTTATTTAGCCAAATACCTGGCATCTACTTCCTCCATCCTTCAAAAATCCTGCTCTGCTGTACTCCAGAGCAGCTCAAGTCCTTGCACCTGCTCCTTTTCCCTGTCACAGCCATCCTGCTGGTTCCCAAACTTGTCTAGTCTGCCTGCCCTGAGTGCTGGAGCTACTCCAAAGCTCACCATAATCACAGTAACTCCTTCCCCTAGCTTCAGCAACTTCCCAGGGAGGTGTCAATGACAGGAAGTGGGTCTTGTGTGAAATCTGTCCCTAATGCTCTCTGAGGCAGCGCCTATTTATAACATCCAAGAGCAAAGCCTAGATTCATGTTTTCAAAAACCTGTCTGGCTTTGTTTTCAGGTTTCCTAGTAAACGGCTACATTTTGCAGCTCCTTCAAATGTAAGTGTCACAGACCACTCAGATGGTTTATCATCCTTTTTATGCCTGAGAGAGTATTTTTGAGCACTTACTCTCAGCACCTGGATCTTCAATTCGCGCATCGCGCTGGGCAAGGTCTTCAGCTGGGGTGGTTCCCTGGGAGTCCCTGGGGCTTCAGCTACCTTCTACTGGAGATCAGACCTATCGATTTAACTTGAGTCATGCTATTAACTGAGAGAACAGCAGGAGGATGTGGGCAGGATGTGTGGTGCACAATGCTATTTATGGTGCCTCTCAGAAATGGGAAACCCACACAGGGAATCCTCATTATATGGGTGAAAAAAAAGCAAGAGTTGCTGACCACCTACATAAATGTATACAGAACATATACATAGGTCCAAAGGATCAGACTGTCATTATTCCCTGCAATTCCAGTGGTATCAACCCAGAATTGCTCCTGGCTGCAGCTGAAAGCCAGATCAGACACACCACAGCTGTGGTAGGATACAACGTGTAAGGACTGCATTCATGTCTATTGGGCATAAAAACAATTTGCCGTGTGCTTTTCTTGTATTATTTTCATGAAGAGAGATTCGATCATTTGGAACTTGAATTCTACGTGGCGATGCAAACCCAGCACAGCAGGGTTTGCTCTCCACAGCTACACAGCTTTGAATTTCCTTCCACTTCAGCAAACTCTCTCCCATCTCTGTGTGCATCCCAGTCTCTCACAGGCTCTTTCAGTTTGGCCTCTTGCTTTTAACACAGAAAGGGTCACTTACGATCATCACTGTAGTCATCCACTAGTATGATTTCATGGACGAGGTGCACTGGGGTGCGGTTCAGCACGCTAAAGAACGAAGAGAGAAAATCCATGACAGTGCTTGACCAAATTAACAACCCAGCAAACGGAGTGGAAAAACCTAGGAACTGATCTCTGCCAAAGCACAGAAGACCAGGCTTGGATTTCCAGAAAGGATATACTAGATAAGACCCAGAAACCCCTCCCCACCCCCCCCCAGTAATCTACAGCGCCTGGCTATCAACTCCCTGTAGCCTGACCTAAGAGCCAAGCGCCCAGTATTCCTGGGAAATACCTGAGATTCACCCTTATCACCCTTGTGAGCAAAAGCAGAGCACCACATAAAGCCAGGAAAAACTGGCTTTTTAGCAACATGCACATTGCACTGGGATTCCTAACTGGGCTTACAGCAAAGCTGCTGTCACCCCAACGCCTCCTCTGGGGCTAATGATACGGTGTCCAGCAACGGCAGGGCCAACACAGAGAAAATTACCCAGCTCAAACCCATCTTTACACAGCTCACAGCTGCGGCAGGACAACTCCTGTTTTTATCCATGAGCTGATTGTGTTTCAGAGGCTGCCGAGAGGATAAGAGCAGGGTTGGAGCGCATCTAGTTAATGAAAGAGAGAGGCTGGAGGATGTGGTTCACAGCTCCCTCCATGTGGACAGACACTGTGAAACATGGCTGAAAGCTACAATCTTCCCTTAATTATGCCACCAAGGGTTTTTTTAGTATTATTATTATTATTATTAAAAAGCCTAGACCTGTTCTTTCTCTTTCTCTCACAGCGCAGAGTTTGGCAGAATTATACAAGCTTAAAATCCTACCCCAGCAAAGGGTCAAGGCTGACTTCTTGAAGCAGAAACCCAAGGACATCCCAAAAGTCTCCTAAGTGCTTGGCTTGGGCTTTGATAATGCCAGTTAGGTCGTACAGGCTTTTCCAGCATTTAAACTTCTTTGTCTTCATCCTGAGTGTGGTTCCTTTTTCACACAGGATTTAAAATCCCCCCAAATTTCAGACCTTCAAAATTCCCACCGGCATTAGAGGGCAGTCACCTGACTAGCTAACAACCTTAAAGCCCCTGATCCCTGCAGATCCTCATTAACAGGTTTTCCCAGTCTCTCAGGCTCCCAAAACTCCAGCAAAAAAAAAAAAAAAAAAAAAAAAAAAGCCTGGAAGTCTGGAAAAACCACATCCCTGTCCCAGACCCCAGTCACGAGGGCTACAAAGGACAGGATCCCCAGGGGACATGGGTGCTTGGGAGCCACACTGGCAGAAATGTAGAAGGGTCTCACAGCCTCACCCCTGGATATTTGAGGACATTCACCAAAGGGCTGCATTTCTCTGATGAAACCTTCTTCATGAGAACTCACAAGACCACTCCGCCCAAGGGGTGGCCCTTGCCAGGTGTCTGCTGCCTGCACTGGTGTACATCCCCAACCCCCCACTCCAGGTGCTGGAAATACAACCCTCCAGAGAACTGAGCTGGATTTTTTTGGAAGGCGTACAGGATATCCCAAGGTAGATGCTTGAAACAGAATCATAGAATCACAGAATGATTTGATTTGGAAGAGACCTTAAAGATCATCTAGTTACAACCCCACTGTCATGGGAAGGGATGCCTTCCACTAGACCAGAGTACTCGATGCCCCATCCAATCTGGTCTTGAACACGTCCAGTAAATGGACATCTACCAGTTCTCTGTGCCTCACCACCCTCCCAGTAAAGAATTTCTTCTATATATAATGGATGCTCCCTGCATGTTGGTTTTGGGGTTTTTTTCCCCTCAGCAGAAATCCTGAAAAAAGGGGGTTTCATATCAGACTGGAGTGGGTAAGCCTGGCACTTCCCTTGTGGGGGTCCTCAAAAATCACTTCCAAGAATTACTTTCCCTGGAAACACAAACTCTTCCAGTTTCAGGATCTTGGCAAAAACCATTATTTTCCCCCACTTCAGATGCCTTGCATGTTAATGTCGGAGTGGGAAGGGAATAAAAGGTGCCGTCCCCTACGCAACAGTAGCTGTGGCCACCCTGACAACACTGTGGTTTGTACCAAGCACAGTTAGACAACACCGCCTCACCAACATCTGGAGCCTGTTACTAGGAAAAAGTGCCTGAGCGCCCCTCCTCCCGCTGGGGCACACAGAACAATTTAGATGTGCTGTTTCCACCTGTCAAGTGTTTTTTAATTATTATTATTAATAGGTTTGTTATTTTTTAAAAATCCCCACACGCGAGAGCTGAGTTCAGCAAATTACCGCAGCCGAGCGTCAGTAGAGAGAGACAGGAGAGCAATATCACGCTCAGTGGAATATTTAACAAGCGCTGATTGCCTGGAAACCTAACTCAGTGAAACCTGCAGGAAAGAAGCAGGCTTGTAAAAAAGCTAGCAAAATAAATAAATAACCCATGGAGAGCAGGAGAGGAGGAGGCAGTGGGCAACTTGAACATTCAAATCCCGCCTCTGCCTAGTCTCCCCTACGGATTCGGCAGCCCAAAGTGCAGTGCATGGCTTCACTCTAGGGGAAGGCGGACACGAAGGGACTGATTCTTGCTTTTACTGGTACCAGCCAGAATAACTCAACCAAAACTGTGGCACTTGGCTGTATAGACTCAGACCTGGGCTCTAAGTGGTACTCAATGCCTTTGGAGGAATTACCTCCGAGGCAGCTCTTACGGAAGAAAATCCAGCATGAAAATTCCCATGGCGCTGGGTCAGGAAGATGTGTAGCCCCGCCTCTGCTCTGCTGCTCCTTCTGTTCCCAGGTTAAGGAACTCGCTGCCAACTCTATGCCTGGACTTGCCACACCACAGATCATGGAACATGTCCCCTGAATGCCAGCAATGGCCGTCTCTGGGATGCAGAGTGTTGACCAGAGGGGGAGGGAAAATTTAGCCAGCATGCCGACCTACAAGGGAAGGGCGTCTCCAAGGACTGCTCTGGCTCCGTAAACCCTCATCATTCCATGGGGTTAATGACAAACACCACTGTGGGTGACACAGTATCCCCTCATCCTGTATCATCACAGCCCTATTTCCATCAAATCTCTTGTGGGCCTCCCTTACCACATGACACTTTTCCAAAACTCCAGTGAACAACTCATCCTCACCCTGGTGAGGGTGGTCCAAAGGCTGGCTCTAAGGGACCTGATATTCACTGATTTCAGCACTCTTTGAGCTCATTATTGCCCTTACAAGTCTGTGCACAGACCCCAGCAAGCCCAAAAACTGCTGCTAAGCTAAAGGCCCCTTGATGCAGGCACAAAGAGATCTAAAGGCTGCAACACCACAACCATAGCCCACTTCCCTACTCAGCCAAGAGCAAGCATGCTGGCTTTCCAGTAGAGCCACATCCACACCTCCAACACATTTTCTGCCTGTGCTCTATTAATCACATGATAATGCACACGATGTTGGAAACACAGAAGACTATAAACACCCCTCCTGCAGCACTCCTTGGGGAGGATGGGAAACGGAGGCACCAAATCCTGTACATTTTCAACGTTACGGGGATTTTTTTTCAGACAGACTACAAAAGCACTTCTAAAAATTCAAAGCCGGTTTTTCTATTACTTTTGCCTCTGCTTAGCTTTGATTTTTTTTTTTAATACTTTCTTTTCTTTATGTCTGTGCATGGCTTTTTTTCCCTTTTTATATGGGTAAAATCAGAAGACAATATTGTAGTGCTTTGAAGTTACTCTGCTATTTATAGATTTCTTTCCCTGAAATCAAACATAGGCAGGTATATACTGCATTGATGGGTACATTTTAACAAATGAAACAGCTTTTATATGCTGTTGAGACAGAGATCACAACATTTTCTCCCTTAAATTACCACAAGTCCTGTTACCGTTGAAATGAAAACTCATGCCTCTAGTCCAGAAAGTGCTTACATTTACTCAATACATTAAGACCAGATTCACTGCTGAATTATCTTGTAAAGTCAATGCTGAAATTTTCTTTGTTTCAATGGATTTAGCAGATCTTACGCAGATGTAGCCATGGAGAATTTCACCCTAAATTTTCATCGTTAAGGTCCTTCTTCCATCATCCTCAACAATTTGGGATCCCTTTCCTCCTACCTGGAGGTAGATCTAGCAATTTCACCTCCAAATAAATACCAGTGCAAAAGTCATCCCGACATATAAGACATGGAAAATGTTCACGTGGAGGAGTTTAGACCTTCTGACCAAAAGTCAGTATATTTTCAGTCATCACCCAGAATACCACTTGCTTTAGAGAGATGGCTGTGGACATTGATCCTCGGGAACTCATGAACCCATTAATTCTCTCCATGGCAACATATTGGGACTTGTTGGGGGAAAAAAAACCACCTCTGGGAGTATAATAAAGTGTACAAAGGGCTAAGGGTCACAATTATCGAAATCAGACCACGAGTGCGGAGAGAAAATGCCCGCCAAAATGAGCTGCTTCAACAACCCCAAATGGCTAATTATGTGGGAAGAGAGACATCACACCAAGAATAACCATAATGAGCTTTGATTACACTGCGGCTTTTGCATTTTATTCTTTCAAATACCCACCAAGCTCTTTGAAATTCAAGGGTTCTCTTATGTTAACATCAAAAGGTAAAAGCGCATGGAGGGCTGTGTACTCAGTCACCACAAGAGATGATTAGCAAATTAAGGAAAAAAAAAAAAAGCCCGGGGTTTAAGGAAAAAGCAGGAAAAAAAAAAAAGAAATGAAAAAATAGTCAGCACAAAGTGCTAATTATACAGTGTCTGTGCAACACCTGGCTTGTTTTTGCTTCTCTAATCAGGCTCGTTTCAGTTATGGCACAGACTCTACGTGGTGCCGACGCTGCCGAAGCAAGGAGGTGCGTGGCTTTGTCACCTCCCTGTCTCACATGTGTCTGGATGCTGACAAGTTAGTGGCATGAGAGGAAGGTGTGAGGTGCTGGCTGCCCAGGACACCACTTCTCTTACTTATAAGCACTGGAAAATAAAAGCCATGATATTCTCTCTGCTAATTAATGACCTAAATATTTGATGTGGTATTCACAGCACTCGCATCGGGACTTTTGCCAAAGGATGTATTTTGGTTTGTCAGCAAGAGCTAAATAATTAAAGTTTCCTTATTCCTGCTCTGAGCTCCCCAGCTGCAAGTTTGAAGAATAAATAAGTAAAAACCACTCAGCAGAGTAAACGGGACTGTCTCCCTCTCTGCCCGGCAGGTCACCCACACAACAGGATTAAGATTCCCTTGCTAAATGCAGGCTAGCATAGGACGGAAAGACGGAAAAGAAGAAATTGCTTGTTTTGTTTTTGTTTTTTAATTATAAATGCCTCTGTATTGCTTAATTTCTCCCTTGCTGCTTCCTTCCCATGTTGGGTTTACTTACACGGTCCCATCCCCATACTGTTGGAGACTCTCACCATCTTTAAGGCACTGAGTCTTGGAGCTTGAAGCTGAACCACAGAGGGATAAGGAACTTGTTCAAGGTCATTTGAAAAGTGAGCGGTTGAAACAATCCAATGGTACTTTTTCCCGTCTGCACAGTTTAAAAAAATAGTAAAAAATCTCAAGAGCTGCTTTGCTATTCACCATCTCCTCCTTTCTGGCCTCTTCTCCCCTTTTCTATTTGCCGTTCTCACGACAGCCACCCCCTACTACCTGGGCAGTTGTACGTATTCACAAGTATAGTTGCACCACATGCATTTATAAATGCTGACTACACTATTTGCAGAGATTTGGGCATTCGATTAATTTGGCCTCTTTTTTTTTTCCCCCCTGGTTTACTTCCAGCTGGCAAATGGTCAAAGATCATGAAACTTCTAAATGAATTCATTATTCAACACAGTCCACTAGCTTTTCCCAATAGCTCTGACAGCGCAAAATGTTCATAAACGAACCGTCCCAAACACTCACAACGTGACTTGCGTAAGGGGTGCTGTGGAGGCCACGTGTTGCTGCCTCTGCTTCACAGGTCAGAGCACTCACATCCCTACCAAGAGCCACATGAAACAAACTGAGCCTGCCACACAGCTCAGCCTCAACACTCAGGAAACATTAAAGCTCTCAAGCACCCAGGAAAATCACAGGAATAGCAAAATCCTTCCTGCTCATCATGTACGTAGTCTCTTCTGCAAGAGGCCATTTTGTCCCCCGAGAGATGGTGCCTTTACCAGCATTTCCCTCTGCCACTCCTCTGTATTTACATGGAGTCCTGTAGAAAGTGTCTCCTTTGCAGGGATGGTGCCCTATGGTATCATGGCTTTGGACAAGCCAAGCAACGTCCCTTTGCCCTGTTTCTTGCTCCTGCTATGGCAATTAACTGAAAACATTGTTTCTGCGACAAGGCTGGAAAATCCAGTATACTGGAACTCAGAAAACCAGGTTTGCAATTCAAAATCTTCTACCAGCCACAGCCAGATCTGTTTCTCAGTCTGTCCACCTGGGTTATCCCAAGAGTGCACCATGGAGATGTACTAGGGAGAATAGGGCAGAACAAGTGGCCAATTTACTCACCACTAAACTCAAAGCACTTGGCCACGGACTGTCCCAAAAGGCACAAAGCATTGTCAGGAGGACAGAGTTTGTTTTGAATGGCCATGGAAAATGATCCATGTTGTTACAGCCACTGTGGGATGGAGTTATCTTGAAGATCTAATTAAGCTAAGTATTTGCTGAGCAAGAGGGGAAAAAACCCAAGCAGTCAGAAGGCACAGCAAATTAACCTACAGAGGCTAAAGAGGCAGATGAGCTCTCAGCTGGATTCAAAAAGAGGCAGAGAGGTGGCAATATGTGCCCAGTAGCCACCAGAGAGGAGCAGAACAGGAGCCATGTCACCAGCACAACTTGCCACCAAGGGTTGGTATCCCTAGCATTGGTTGGATGAAAGCAAGTCCCTGTGCACTGCATCCAGGAGGAAAACAGTAAACCCTGATGTCAAGAGGCCACCTCCAAGCCATGGGGACCAGAAAAAGGAGGGTCAGCTCAGGATCTCAGCCTAGGGGGAGGCAGAGAAGATGTGGGACCCAAGGCTGTCGTCTCAGTTCCTCACTGCCTGGGCTTGCCTCTGTGGTGCAGCTCAGTGGAATGCTTCGTGGAGCTCTGGCATTGTTTGGAGATCAACCTTAGAGAAACAGGGCTCAGAAGGGGCCCCAGAATTGGGGAAAAACTCTCCAGACAAACAGGAGTGCTGGAATTGCCAGGGCACATAAGCAAGAAGGAGCAGTGCACATGGGCAAAACTGTGGCGGAAATCACACACAGTCGGGTAAGGAAGGCAGTAAAGCCAACTAATCAAGTTAAGCAAACAAAATAAGAGGAACAAGGAAGAAAGTAATTTTATAGCTGGAAATCAGAAACTTCAGAAAACAATAACCTAGAAGAAGGAAAAATTCAATCTATCTGTATTTCTAACCTTGCCATCACTGCAATGAACAGTTCTCTAATGAAGGCAGATATGGGGGATCCAGGTATAAGAGCTGTATTATGCATCTAACATTTTTCATGTGACAACATTACTCATGATCGTACCTGGCAGGACAGTCAAGTGCTGAGTTATGAGGAGAAATGAGATCAAAGTCCATCCCTGCACTTAAAGCTTCCTATATCTCAGTGGGGGCCAGAGGACTGCACCTGCCATCTCTGTTACAATTGGTTTGGGAGAATGGCAAATTTATGCAAGGCACTGTAAAGACAAAAGAGAAGGTTCAAGATCAAGGAGGTGGCACAGAGCACCAAGTGTCAGTATCACCCAAAATCCACACATCCTAGAGAGAGAAAGCAGTTACAGATTATTAAGTGTGAAAGAAGGAGATGGGATTGGGTACGAAACCATAAAGCAAAGAAGGAATTCAATTTCAGGACTGTCAAACTCATTTGTGGCCCTGAGTGTGCTCACCTGAGGAAGGATGCTGTTTTCAGAGAAAAGTTCAGCAAGGATGTGATAGTGAACAGGGAATGACTGAAGCCTCCCTGTAACCAGCAACCCCAGTCTGACCAGTACCAATGATAGCAAGGGGTCCCTGGGGATGCCAGGGTTTAAAAGACAAGACTTGCAGCAGGGCATAAATCTTTACAATGTGGGCACGAGATGCACCTGCAATACACTTACTATTGGCACAGATCAGAGTGCATCCAAGCTTGCTACAGAGGAACCCACCAGCCTAGACCTGGAGACAGACCCCTTGAAGGTGTGGTGGGCACACCTCACCAGTTCTTCCCACAAGAGAACTTGCAGATTCAAGGCACATATTGGGATTAAAAACTGATTTGAAAAACCTGCAGTGAAAATGAAGCCTTTAGTCTATTCACTACAGCAAAACACAGCCAAGAACAAACCGACAAATGAAGGAATGGCCACATGCCCAGAGCGCTCCACCATGTACCCGCAGGAGTACAGAAACCGTCTTTGAAAACCTAGTCTGCGTGTGTGCCATTAGGGCTTCTCAATTAGCAAGCCTTTCTGGCACTCGATGGCTCACTGGAGAAGCTCAAACAGCACTACCAGAGAAAATATCTGTAGAATGATAGCTGTCCCTAGAGGACTGGGAGAAAATACAGCTGAGCTCTGATAACCCAGCTGGATACAAAAGCTCTTATCCCAGACTTTGTCTAATCTGCTAACACTCCCCCAAGTGTTTCCCGTGCTAGACCCTGCAAAGGGGGCACAGCTCCTTACTTTCCTGAGCATCCCACTGTAAAAGCTACTTCTCTAAGACCAACTTTCACTCTAATTTCTCCCGGACATCATTTGAGACCACAGCTGGTCCCATTGCTACGGTGAGTGCAAACAGATTCTGCCTTTATTCGTAAAAACCTCTAGCTCACTCACCATTTTTTAAGAGATCACCAGAGCTCTTACCTCCGAATTGTCCTTAGCAGGGTTGATCTGGCCTCGTTGTGGAAGGTGATGATGACACTGGTTGGTGGGAGGTCCTGGCCATAGTGCAAAGTTGTACACCTGGGGAAGGAGAGAGAAGAAAAGGCCATTCAGGTACTGGAATTCAAAGTGAGAGCTTACTTAATTTACATAGACAGCAGAGTCCATCAGCAAATGGTCCTCCAGCCACTATTACAAATAAATAAATAAGAGCTTTTCCGTCTGAATCTCGAAAATGCCAAGTAAGTCACTGAGGACTAAAGCAGCAAAGAACTTAACTGTCATTGATAGGAAGGGATGAGAAGGGATGCCCAGTGGGCAGCCCTTTCCTCTAACCAATGTTTCCCAGCTAGCACTCTCACACCCACCCAGCTGGTGGCACCAGCAGAGGTAAGAGCATCCTTGCAACTCCAGCTCCAAGCCACCTCACTCCCAACCTCCCGAGGCAGCAATTTCCACCAGCTGGTTGCAAGGTAAGCCAAGTCCTGTTTCTAAATTGATTGTTTCCTTATTCACTCTGCCTTAATGGCATAACCGAACTACAGGGAAGACTGGGATTTGAAACTTTCCAAACCCACAACTGTGACCACGGCCCCTGCTGCCTCCTTCCCAGGAGGAAATGTCACAGACTCAGTAATTACTTTGACCTTTAGCTGATTACATTTTTGGCTTTTATAGACCGATACCAACATATTCCTTGCTCAGAAAATCCAGATACACCTCTTACATCTAAGATGCTCTTTCCAGGTCCCTATCAGTCCCTGTGATGACACAACAGCAACAGAAGCCCATACCCAGCCTGAGGAGCCCTCCATCACAGCCATTATGTCCTTTCACTTCCACATGCCAATCACTTGCTGCTGTGTCACTGCCCAGGTGCTACCACTACTATCCTCAAATCAAGCAGAAAAAAAGGACTGAGCAACAGCTATTAGTTTGCTCCCACCAAGTTCTGGAGCATAGTATCTGCAAGGTGAAGTAAAAACAGATGGGTAAACTAAGCTAGGGATGGAGAGGAGAAAGCAGGTAAGAGTAGCCAGATATTACTGGTTTATGCTATTGAACGTGGTTATGTTGCACGTGTGAAGAGCCAAAATGCTTGAGATATTATTTTTAAAGAGATTTTCCGTCTTCAAAATTTTTAATTTTGAAATTGCATTTCCAATTATCTACAAAGTGAACTAAATTAAAGGAAAAAAGAGTGTGCAACAGGTGAAACAATTCCAAAGATAAGAAAAAAATGATATCTTGAATGGGACAAAATATTTCCAAGATCACGCTATATCACTTGCTGTTTTCTCTCATTGTTTCACTCAAAACCATTTCCAAATCCTGCTTCAACCTGACCAAAAGCAGTTTTCTCATTGTTTTAGCCAGAAATTCACAATCAAGTCAATTCTAATTCTAGGTACATCCCCAAAGGATGCCAAAGTTGCACAGCTATTCCATATGCAGGAGAAAGTTCAGTAACATTGCCCTGTGTGACAACACCCTCATTCATCAAAATTACATCTCAGGGATGCTGAAAACAGAGGGTTTCTGAATTATGAAACAGCACTGGGTCACGCCCTGAGCTGCTCCCCTGGGTCACTGCAGCCCCGTGCATTATCCAGTAACCAGCTCCAGCTGAGCCTTCCCAAACTGATGTGATGAGAAAGAAGTGGCTGTTCAGCTCCTGTTTTGCCATGCTCAGGCTCAGCTCTCGCTTGCTTTGCGGAGCTCCAGGGACAGACTGTGGCAACTGCCTCTCCCTGTGCTATTTATACACTGTTCCCAGATGCGTGTCCTTCCACCCACTTCCAGCGGGGTTCTGTGGAGCAAACAAGGGAAGCTATTTCTGGAAAAGAATGAAAGAGGGTGGAAAACATAAAGTCATCAATACTTTACTTATGTTATTACAACAGCTAAGGAGCTAATAAATAAAGCAGCAGAATGTGCGAGCTGTACCACCCACCAGTGGGAGTGCTGGGAATATTGCAACCCTGGCTGAGCGCTCCAGCAGCCCGATGAAGGCTCCTCGTGCGCAACAACTTGCTTCGCTTCTACAACTCCAGATGTCTGTGCACCAGATTGGCCGCACTAGACAACATGCATCTGGGAAAGGCTGAAACAGCTCATATGAGCACCTCCAGAGCTTGGTCACTGGTGCTGAAACCCATCCCTGGTTTCTGTTTAACGAGACTCGTTGCATCCCAAAGGGACCAGTGACTGTGCTGCTGCTGCGGAGCAGGCAGGGACCTGGCAGCACCCCCTGCCTCGCTTTGTCTCTGTGGCCAGTACTACATCACAGCTGGGACTTGCCTCTCCAGACACCAGCCCAAAAAGTGTTAGGCTGAGCTGCTGCACCTGCCAGCGCCCCTCCTCCGTGGTTCCTTTGTGGCCCTGACTCTGCCCTTGCCCAATATTTTACCCCTGGGCTATTCTTTCAGGAGCCCTCCCAAAGTTTCCTCCAGTTGGTCCCTTTTTTTTCCTTCCTCCCCCAGTATAATTGCAGCGAAATATCCTGGCTCCCCAGAAGGCAGATTTCAGCTTAAGTTGTTGACTACAAGTGTTTTTTTGGCACTTACTTGGGTAATAAAAACCACAGCTTGGAAAAGCATTAAATCCAGCATGTCCAGAATTATTTTGTGTGACAATTACATCTGGGGTAATTTCAATTTAATACCTCACTGCAAGTGAAAATTGCAGCATGCAGCCCTAAAATTGCTGTAATAATGAAAATAAACCTGCTAAGAGCTGCCTGTGCTACCTCAGGCTGTCGCTGGATAAACGTTTTGTGCCACTTTTGGTATTTCATAGGTCACCCAATTGCCAAAAAAAAAGAAAAAAAAAAGAAAAAAAAAAGAAAAAAACCCCAAACAAACAAACAAACAAAAACACCACAAAAAACCCCCTCAAACCAGAAACAACACCCATACATTTGCAGGAAACCAACGGAAGTTTGGTTTGGTTTGTTTTAAATTGTTAAAAAAAAAAAAGGTAAAAAAAGAGTAATAACTGCACTGCCTATAGTTGCAGTGTGTTGAAACTCTCTGGTTAAAGTCATTTAAAGTTTGATGCTTTGAAACCTTGCAGCAGGACTGGGGAGCAATCCTAGCACAGCAAGTGCTAGCAGGAATGCTGCCAGCCTGAAGTGCCTGCAATTTGGGCTGCTCCACCAACTCCTAATATCTGGGGGACTGAAAGAAGACAGAAGCCAGGCTGGCCCGCCCTAAACACCTCAGAGAGAGCACCCAGATGGAGAAACAATTCTTATTTCCTCCTGCAAACCCAGAAGTCAAACTTTCATTTTACGGAAGTTTCACTTTTCTGTTTTAAAGTTTTTTCCCCATTAAAAACTGAAATAATTTCAGAACTAGAAAGTTATGAAAAGAGCATTCTGGCTGAAAACACCTTGGAGTCACACCCTTGGAAAATCCCAGCCTGAAATAGTTGCTTGTTATACTTCTTTCAGGGTGGACAGAGCAACACATCTCCATGTTCCCAATATGCCACTAACAGCTCAGGAATAAATTACAGAGCACTTGTTTGTGGGGACAGGAAGCAGACAGACAGGAAGCACTCATTGCAGGAACTGCATAAAGTCCCAAACTTTGGACGCTCCAGAATTCCTCACAGGCCTCCGAAGTCCCTTACTAAATATTTTTTCTTGAGTTTCTTCAACCCTTGTGCTCCTGGTGAACGGTGTGGTATCACAGATACATGCCCTATGCACACAGCTGCCCCTGCATCCCTAGAGATCCTCCTGATGGGGCAACACACATGCTCATTCCCAGGGAATTTCAACCCATTTAACGTTTAAAATGTCAAACTTAATTCATAGTGCCCCCCACCAAACCAAGGCCCACCTTGCAAACGCGGCTACGCAGCACAATGGTAAAGACTAACAGTGTGAACGGAGATGAACTCTGCTCTGCAACCCCTTCCGGTCCTTCACAGGCTCATCCAGAGTGTTTTCTCCTTGACACCTGACATCCCATGCCCACAGAGCTGTGACACATCTCTCAAACCTCACCTCTTATATTCACCCTCTCCTGTGCCTTGTTAACTTCCTTCAAGAAATCAAGAAATAATTATCATCATTTCACTACCCTAGACTCCTCTGCCAGGTTTCTGCTCATTCTTTTGTTCTACTTCAACGGCCATAACCTGCCAACAACTCCGCTTTGAATTTTTAATGCTTTTCATGAAGTCCAAACTCTCCCTTCAACACAGCTCACCTTTTCCAAAGGACTCTCTGCATATTTATTTCAAACAGCCAGCTGCATCAGACGGAGCTACATCACCCTTCCTGCCTGGCTCCTCTCTTCTCCTTGGAAACACATGGGAGGGCAGTCTCATCGCCACACATCTAAACCAAGGGTATTTGGGTTTTTCTCCACACTGTGCACTCACAGCGACCCAGAGGACAGGGACATGCCATCACAAACATCATGGGTTCACCCCCCACCCTCCGATGGACAAAACTACTTTGGGTTTCAGATGACGTTCCTCAAGTCTGACTAGCTCTCCAAATTTGATGGCTCTCTTGAGTGAAGACACTTGCAAGAGTCATGTCACAGCAGTGCAGCCACCAAGAGCTGCATGTTAGACTTGGATGCTCCACCAGAAGCAGAGAAGAACTTGGTGGAGAGAGGGGAAAAGCATGAAAAGTCCTTTTAGCTCACAAAAAGAGTGAAATAAATTACACAAATCACAAAGGAAGAGTTCATACTAGTGCCAAAGCTCTTTGCTCACACTCATGTTGAAAGGAGGGCTCTTGCCAGCCTGGTCCTCTGAGGGGACTCAGCCAGTCAGGACTGGAGCAAGCCTGGCCTTGGCCTGGACCAAGTTATTGCTGCCTGGGAGAAGCCTATACAGCTTTGCTCAGGCTACACACCAGCCAGTTAATGACTGCCTTCCAGGGACACTGGTGTCACACCACACCCAGCTGGAGAGACAGAGTGGCAGGGAAAGTGGAGGAGAAAGACCAGAGATGCTGAAAACACATCTGTACCTTACCAAAGAGACAGGAGCCAATTCACTACTAGAAATGGATGGCAGTTCAGGAAAGAAATATGAGGAGAGCTTTCTTTAATAAT